ATGTTTTTCACAACTCCTAGTTTGACAGCGTGTCCCTACGTCGCTAAATTACGCCGCTGCAGGCTGGTCAGGGACATGGCAAGCGTGTTGGAGGTCTTCGCCGCGGCCGCAGCGGCGGATGCCTCGGCGGCCGCTGTCGCTGCCATGACCCGTTCTAGCAGTAGCAGCGGCGGCGGCAGCGCGACGCCTGACGGCGCTGGCGGTGACGCCGCGCCCACTGGCGCCAACAGCCCACCTTCGGGGGCTCGCTGTCCCTTACCCAACTGCGGCTCGTCCCACGTGTCTCGCTCTGACGCCAGCTTGACGGCGATTAGTGCGGCTAGCTGGTCATCCGGGGGTCGTACCGACACTCTGATGTCCACCAACGCCGGTTCGACGGTGGGGTCGTTCATGACAACTTCATCAGCCTCGGCTTTCATGCCGGCAGGTGCGCGTGTCGTCGCGAACGAAGCCCGTTTGTTACCACTAAAGACAAAACCCCAAAGGATATATCGTGTCATATAACTGTAGCCTCGACAAAGTAAGTGCGTGCGGGAGACTCAGCTAGGGGGGGAATTCACTTTGGGGGAACGCCTCTTTTGGTGCATGGTGTGACGTGGCATGGGTAGACTCACGGCTGTCTTCCAGCGGCTTACCCCTGGCCGGCCTACCACCGCTGTCGTCTGACTCCCACCGCAGGTATGGCGCCTGGCCAGGTGCATGTGCCGGGCCTGCCGGTTGCGCAACACACTGCGCGCCACCCGGCGGCTGCGGCTGCGGCAGGCAGCCCGGCCGCGGTCACCGCCGCGACTGCAGCTGCTGCGGCTGCTGCGGCTGTTCTTCCGATCGTGCTCCTTCCCCCGCCGCCTTCGGCCGTGATGCGTCAGGCGCTGATCCGGGCAGCACGGCTGCTGCGATACGCCGTCGCACGGTAGGTTAAACCCGAAGTGCGCGCTTTCCTTGTCCTTGCATGCATGTCTGCATCTACGCTCATCCACGGTGTAAGTGGTCCTTGCCGCCTTGCTTTCCATTCTTCTCTCGCCAGCTTACTACTAAGTTCGGCCTGCCTCCCCTCCCCCTGTATCTCCCGATAGCTCCCTCATCCTCACCCGCACCCTCACTGCACACTTCTCGTCCCGACATCCCGCTGTCCCGTTCAACCCCGTTGCAGAGGCATGCCCTACCTGACATCCCTGCTGCTCACTGCCGTCAACCGCCTCGCCCGCATACAGCCCGAGCCGCAACCGCAGCCACAACTACCGATCCATCAGCCCCAGGCCCAGACCGTTCAGGTTGGCTCTGCGGCAGCCGCAGCCCCTGCGCCGCAGCCGACGTCCTCAGGGCCCAGTCGCTTGGAGGTGCTGGCGGCTGCAGGTGTGGACCTTCAGGAGCTGCTGCGACTGGCGGTGCTGTCGGGCAGTGCGGCCACAGTGGACCAGCTGACTGGGTTCGCTGCGCGGGTGCTGGGCTCTCCATTGAGACTGGATCTGCCGCAAGGTACATCGGTATTTCCTGCGGGCATGGTATTGCTGTTGGCGCTGTTAACGTAGACACTGCTGCCGGTATGACGTTCCTGCTGTTACGGCTGCTGCGGGCATGGCATTGCTGTTGGCGTGATGGTGACCACCCGCCGTTTGGAGAGACGAATGTCTGCTGTGCCCCTCTGTACGGCAACTGTCCGGCGCCTGCAGGACCTGGCGGCCTCTCAGCACTTCACCTTGCAGCGTTGCTTTCCGATGGTGGCGCCTTGGCGTGTCACTTGCTGGCTACTCAGCCGTGGGCCGCGTGGCAATGGCTATGCCTGGGCTGGAAGCCGCAGCTGGAGGCAGCGAGCAAGGGCCGGGACAGCCAGCAACCGCAACCGCGGGAGGGGCCCCCACAGGGCGCGAGTCCATCGCTGGCCGCTGCCAGCGTCAATACCAATGGCGTCGTGGAGGCCAAGAAGGAGCTGGTCAGGGGCGACGAGGACGAGGAAGCGAGCGACGAGGAGGACGGGGAGGTGGGCTGGCATTGGACACCGCTACCGCCACGGCCGCTTAGCTTGACTCCGGGGCAGTTGTCGGTGATGCTGGGAAATCACGTCACGGTGCGGAAGGCAGTTTCAGAGCTAATGACGACTACCAATTCGGGCAGCACCGGCGTTTGTGTGTTGCGGCGGGGCCCAGCGATGACGGCGGCGCTGGTGACGGCGTTGGAGGCATGGGGCCGCACGGGAGTTACGTTACTGCAGACGCTTTGTGCGCAGTTGGCACAGCAAAAGCTGGAGTGAAGTCATCCATGTCAGTTTGGGATTGAGGACTCCTCATCGTCGCCCTGTGTCCGAATGGAGTGTTTGTTGCGCATCTTTGCATGCGTGGGGTGTTCTGACCCACGTTAACCTGTTGAGACGAGAAATGGCCCCTCAGGCGGTGCTTCAGCGATAGCAGGAGCAGCGGCGCCTCTCCTCGGGTCGATTTCCTTTTCACCATTGCGTTGCGAGCTCACGGTGTACCTCGGTAGATACGGGGCATCATCCCGTTTGCAGGTGTTTGTGTGGGTCTCTTCCGATCCCTGCGGCGAAGTATGGCCATCGGCTATTTACCTGTTATGTCCTGATGGCCGGGGAGGCTGCGCGGTTCTTGTGACAAAAGCCCAGTCTTTGTGCTCGTGGCGTCTGACCTGATCTTGCATTCCATTGCTGACCCTGTGCTTTGCTGAGCTTACGGTGGACGCCAAGGACCATTCTTCGGCGTCGTCCAACACATCCAACACGTCTTTGCCTCCATTTGGCACTACAAGTCACCTAGCTCCAGGGAGGGGTTCTCTTGGCAATCCACCAATTCTTACATTGTACATCCTGCATAATTTACGTGTGTAGACGGAGCCCGCCTCTGTGCAATTTCGCTGCTTGTTGCGTGGTAATAGTGACTTGCGTGCCGACGACAGTAATGTTGAACCACGTTGCACTCTCACAACGGGGCCCTAGAGGAACCATCTCTACATGTGAGGCGGGAAATCTGGGGGTTCTGCAAGCCTGTGGGCTGACGCTCCAGTAAATGCGTCAGCGCTTAATGGCTCCACACCCATACACACATAGGTATTGCCAAAGACGATGTTTCCTGACTTGGCGCTGCTGCAAAGCTCTCCGCAGGTAATGGCCGCACGCGTTAACACGCTGACATACAGCAGACATGCTCGTCGCTATGTGTCTTGACGTGAACGATGCTCAGATGTACCGCAATACGCATGGTCCTTGTGTGAGGTGAGAGTCCTGGGATATATCGTTGAAAACATGAGCCCAAGACGGATTTGTGTTTCGAATGTTAAGACTGTGTGCTTGGGTGGGAGGTATATGGAGGAGGGAGATGTGTATGTGTGTGTGTGCCAGTAGTGTTCGAAGTTTTGCAGGTTGTCTACTGGATTGGGCAGCGTAAACCCCATACCTGCAGCCATGCACGTGCGATATGCGCCTACTGCATGCCCGAAAGCCATGAATGCCTGAAAATGGAGAATCCCACAATACTACAGGCAAACGGAAGAGAAAAATAAAAGGAATAGCATGTGGCGATAGGGATGTAAACACAGATAAGGAAATGAGCGAAACCGGAGCAGTCGAATTTCGGTGGCAAATGTGTGGCAGGAGGAAAACTCCTGCTGGCCGACCGACGGCACCGCTGGCCAACCAACTGGCAACTGTCGGTCCGCAAGTGCCCTCTTCCAGCCGCCTCGATGCCTCTTCACAAGGTATTATGTCCAGTGATGTCAGGGCCTTCGCCGCCGCCGCCCGGCCCTGGTACGATACCTCTGCTGTCCCATCTTCCTTGGAGTCATAAGGTGATGTGGACCCCGATTGGATAAAAGCCGTCGTGGCAGTGGTAGCAGTATAGTTGCCCCGCGGCGTCTCTGCAGCCAGGTCGTCTTGCAAAACACGAAGGGGCTTCAGTTGCGCTCGGCGTACTGATCGAATTGGTAAGCGTGTTTGGCTGCTCGCGCAGCGGTGCTTCCATCAATACAACAGACGCGTTGTTACCGGAGGACTTGGGGCGCTACGCCTGGCGTTAACTCCCTGAGTTCTATGGCAAGAGTTATTAGCATGAGCGGATAAGCTGGCATCAGATGGTTTTTTCAAAACAAATAAATAACATCTGTGTATCGTAGTGCCAGCAAAAAATAGTGGCAAATCCCTGAAAATTTCCAACGATTCTTGCAATTGGTGACGCCCCGGAGATCGTTTTGCAACTGTGTGATGGATACTGGTTACACGCCGTCCTACCGTTCTCGTACTCGCCAAGGCACGTTCACCAATATCAAAGGCGCCCAGACAAGAAGCTCCGCCACCTTTACCAACCGCTCACGTTTCCTATAATACCATTCCATCAACTTACTCGAAGATGGAATGGATGTCGATGTCTACATGGAGCGCATGCGGAGCATGTAATTATACATCAGGACTGTGCACCACAATTGCGCTTCTAAGATTTTGGCGAGGCAGCAACTGCGCCGTTGTCCATTCACACGGTGGTAATTACTTCACAAGGACTTGACTGGCTTTCAAGCTCCACAACTCCTACTCCAAAACATGACTCAAGTGAAACGTCTCCAGAGTTACTTCCTTAGCCCTACACGATTCGCAGTGACTGACTGTAGACACGGTAAGGAACACGAGCGAACCACGGCAAAGAACCCTTGGCTCTACCGGCCTTAAAGCAATTCGATGCACGAGTACAAGCACGGCTGCGCGACACCATACGTCACACGTGATGCCCTCGGCTCGAAGTGTCGTAATTTCTGATCAGGTACAACATCTGTGCGCTCGTGGTGTCTCAGCGAGTAATAATACGATGTTATCTGTCAAGAGCAATTTGATGCGCGTGAGACGCACCCTCGGCCAATCCCTCACACCCGCCCACGGCCCACAGCGTGGAGACCCCAGTTCAATCCTTGATACCAAGGCAAGCACGTGCATGAAACCCCACCATACAGGCCCTCGTAAGCCCCTCCGCCGTCCGTAGTCCACACACTTCTGCCACAGGAGTGTGTCAGCACCACCGCAGACATAGTGCTCCATGCTATGCCTGACGGCTCGAAGCCATCGCCACCTGACACCTGCGCTATAAGAACATCCCCCTTCACTCCTCCATCGCATCTTGGTTCGCCTCCGTGTGCTGCCGCAGCGACTCCTTGAGCTTCTCCTTTTCGGCTCGGATGCCAGCAGGAGCCTTGATGAGGTGAATTTCCTTCTCAAGCTGCACCTTGTCAGCCTGCAGCTGCTGCTTCTTTGCGCGCTGCATGCGCTTCTCGTAGAAGCGGTCCTGGCGCTTCTGCCTAATCTCCGTGACCTTCTCGATCGCCTTGAGCGTCTTGCCAACCAACTCACGGTTGTACTTTTCAGGCCGGTTGCGCCGCTTCTCCATTTCAAAGGTGGCATCCTCCGCCAGCTCCTTACCAGCCAGTTTGCGGTATGCCTTCGTCCAGCGCACCTTCCTTGGGTTGCGCTTCATCTTAAAATTCTTGTGGCATTTGCCCCGACAGAATCGAAACACGGTCGCATCATTGCGCACAAATGTAATGCCGTGACCAGGATATATTGAGGAGGAGCAGAACCAGCACTTTTCGACACGCATGGCGGCCCACGCGTCCTTAAAGAAGTGCGGCGCAGGCCGGCGGCGCTTAAGCCACCGAAAATATAAATCCTAAGTTGAAGCTTACAGACAGTGTTCTTGTTTGCAGCGGAGAGCGATTAAATGTCTGGTGCCCCACGCGACTTAATTATCTTCTCCCTGCGTCCTAAAAACTTGTTTGATACAATGCAATCGACTGCGCAACCGTAAACTCTTAGCAAGCTTGCTGATAAGACGCCTGCCTGTAACCAGTACGCAATGTCACCGTAAGGCCCTGAGTGGTTGGTTGCGAACGGTTAGGATGTTTCTTACACTTACTTCGGTTTTCAGTTAGGTGGCTGTTACTTCCTGCCATGCATTGCATCACCATGAACTTACATTACAGATGTCTACACCGAAGAAAGGCATGAACTGCTTTGGGTGTGTGTTTCTATGTATATGCAAGGGACCTCCTGCACTGCCTTGGGTATGCGCTTCTACGTATATGCAAGGGAGGAAAATTACGATCTAAGTTCTCATGGGCTTATAGTACAGGTACTTCGCCGCACCGGAAATGGAGGAGGCGCCCCGTGCGGGTCACACCAGCTGTCGGGTTCGGAGATATTACTGCAACTTGAAGATCCTAGGTTCAATTCTTGGATAGGCCCCTGATATTGTCGGAAGCGTGGGATTCTGGCTAGCTGCTGAGATGTGGAGTGAAGTCACAGTTGACGGACCTAAACTTGCACTCTGGATTGGTGGGGAATGCTGAACCCGCTGCCTCTACGGATGTTCGGGTGGCATAATGATGAGGGACTCTAGAAAGGCAGAATCTACCGCCTTAGGCTTGCAGTTCGTATGGCGTATTACAGTGTGGTAATGGTGGATGGTGCTGTATGGTGTTCAATCCTAGATATGTGGATCCAAATGTGTTCAATGGCCTCCCACTCTGTAACAACAACAACAACAACACAAAGCTGTAGCTGGTGTGTAGGAGTCAAGAGCTGTGGTAGGAGTGGACCATGACAGAGGCACGTCAGGGTAGAAAGACACATACAACAATAGCCAGGAATCAAAGGGACATTAGGCGGTGATCCGAAAGCTGGCAGTCTGGCTGGCTGGCCTCGCATTGCAGTGCAGCTGCGGTAAATCTCTGGCTGGAGTTTTAAATAATTTCACGCACCCCTTCTGTGCCTTCATTCTGTGCCTAGCCCGGATCACTTCCTGCCTGTTTCAGCGCAGCACGCCACCTCAGGGCTGCAGGAGGCGTCCCTCCCCCGCAAACTTTCAAGCAGGGGAGAAATGCTGCGTCCAAAGCCTTCGAGCTCCAGATGGATTGGTAAAACATCTCATGGAGGGGACTTGCTAGTCACGACCGCGGCATCATGCAGATTCCCGCTGCAGCGATCACGGCCGTACGCAGCGTACGACACATATGCTGGTGTTACCTCTGCAGCGTCTTCTGAAGTGTTATAATATGTGTATGGTGGGCAGCTTGTAGACGTGTAATTCCTTCTGCCAGAAGCTTTCGCATCCATGTAATTTTGCCAGTCTCTCATAGGTATTTTGTCAAGATTGTACCCAGGTCTAAAATTTCAACATGAATGAATTCCAAAATTTTGAACGCTTTGATATGGAGAATGATTACGAGGGCGGGCAATGGATCAATGGCGAGTTTTACTACTCCAAGAAACGACAGAAACGCATGCAGACCAAGGACGAACGAATCTACGGTGTCTTTGCCGATGACTCTGATGACTCCGATGGCGACCGTCGTGGCCGTCGCCGCGATCGTGACCGTGAACGGGATTACACGAAGCCCGTTGGCTTCGTGTCCAGCGGTAAAATTGTTCAAGATACGATGAAGGACGACGAGGAGGACGCCGGTGGGGTAGAACCGGGGAGAACCTTCGGGCCAGCACAGCGTCCAGGCAGCGTCGGCCCCACCAGCGAGGAAGAGGAGGACACGGAAGACCGGCAGACTTTTGCTCATGCAGGCCTAGGCCTAGGCAGCCGGAGCGGGGGGCCTCGGGAGGGCCTAGGCAGCAGTGGCGCCGGACTTGCGAGCAGCGGCGGGGGATTAGGGTTTCAATCCGGAGGGAGTCGAGGTGTCAGCAGCGGTGACCGTGGCGGTGACGACAGCGCCCAGGAGGATAACAACGAAGAGGCAGTGATGCCATCAGCCTTTGGGAAACGGTATGTAAGGCGTTGCTTCTGCCGGCCTCGTGGGATAGTGGTAACGTGCCATGCGTTCCGTGGTGAGCGCAGTTGGCTCAGAACGCCACGAGCACACCGGGTTTCGTTATTCTGGGATCGAATTGTCATTGAGCACCCCATTATCCATTTGATCTGAAGTAAGATGTTCGCTCCCTTGTAACGCAGCATTTTGGAAAAAGCGCAGCAGAGGCTGAAGCAGGAACAACAGGCCGCCCGCTCTGAAGCCAAGCGCACCATCACCCTTAGCGCCGACCCGACCTTTGCTAACTTTGAAAAGCACACCAAGGGAATTGGTCTCAAGCTGCTGGAGAAGATGGGATACAAACCAGGTGGGGGGAAAATCCATTCGGCCCGACACAGCATAACGATGTGACGCTAACGTTGATTCCCTTTTGATTGTCACCTGTTACCCAGCAATGGGTACGCCGGTTGATCAGTTTGGGCTCAGGGGGATTGCCTCTCCCCTTCCATTCCCTGCCCCATATGTTGACAGTCGACTTCTTGCTCTTTGCATATGATTTCCCTTCTCATACACGTACCCCTTATGGCGCTCGGTTGCCCTGGCTGTTACCTGCTGGCGGACTGCCTTAGCCGACATAACTCGACTTAGCTCAACCCGAATCGACCCGCAGGCGAGGGCCTGGGCCGCAACAAGCAGGGGATAGCGAAGCCGGTGGAGGCACGGATGCGACCCAAGGGCATGGCGTTGGGCTTTGGGGACCGGGATGAGCCTCGAATGGAGCTGCCTCAGCCTCACGGGGGCCCCGGGGGCCTGGGGCTAGGGGCCCAGCCGGGCGGGAGGGCGCCGGGAGCGGACGGCGCAGCCCGGGACCAGGACGGGAAGGTGTGGTCCCGGATTTCCTTGTTATCACTCGCTCAGTGTGCTAGCCAGGGGGCCAAGTACAAATGTACTGGGTCCAGATGAGTTTCAGCAGCCGACATGGTCTAGGAGAGTTACTGCCTTATGGTGTTTATATGACGAGACAAGCTTGCCAGGATTGCCATGCAAACGCGGTTCAATTAGCCATCTATCCATACATGCGATAAACCACGCAGACGGACAGCCTCATAAGTTGTTGTGGTTACTGCCCTTCCGTAGATTTTTCTTCGTCTTCATAGTGCATCGAGCACTAAGTAATAGTGCTAAACGGGCTTGGTGCAGCAATTGGCTTAGGTTTCGTAAGCTTCAAGGAGGTGTCTGTCCCATGCTTTGTTGCTCATGCGCTCATACGCCGCCCGCTACGTTCTGATGCCCATCTGTTGCGTCCTGGCTTCTGGACTTGGCGTAGTAGTGCTTCGGGCCGCCTTTTCGTCCATACCAATATTCCTCGACCAACCCCGCAAACCGGCTCCGATTCGAGTTGTTCTATCCCTGCCCCAAACTCGCCATCGCCCTATTTCCTGCAGGCTGATGGGGACGTTCCCGCCAAGGGCGCCTGGAAAAAGAAGGCCAAGGAGGCTCGTGTGCGGAGGGAGTACCGCACCGCCGACCAGGTGCTGGCGGAGGCGGCGGAGCAGCCTCTGCAGGTGCGGGCCGGTGATGCTGGCGGAAAGCGTTGGGAAAACGCCGAACCTGTCTAGCACAGCAATGGGCGGAGTTGGTGGAACCGGGGGCCCCGGGTGGGAGGCGGTAATCCGTATCCCAGTGGTTTGTACTGCTTATACATAATCCCCACTCGCCTTTACTTCACTCCATTTTTTCCAACTTGACACTTTGGTGTTGACATCCTACCCTTACTCCACCTTTCCCTCCGCTAGGCGCAGCCCATCCTGGACATGCGGGGCCCTCAAGCCCGCGTCATCACCAACCTGCAGCACCTTAACCAGGAGACCGTCACTGCGACAGGTGGGCAGATGCATGATGAGAAGACGGGTCCGTCTTACGGTTGGTTCCACAGACGTCGTGTCGTGATGCCTCGTGCTGCCCCGTACCCACCTCGATGGAAAACAGGGTATTCAACCCCATTGAGCCCCACGCCAAGGCAGAGTCGTATGTCAGAAAGCAAGTCCTAGCAAGTCCTAGAAGTCTGCGCCTGTGCGTGCTGTTCATATGGTCAGGTGACAAGACGCCCATGCCGGAGCTGCAGCACAACCTAAGGTTGTTGGTGGATCTAGCAGAGGCGGCCATTCAGAAGTTGGATGCCAAACTGCGGCACGAGCAGGTTGGAGGCGGGAGTGGGCGTGCAAGGCGAAGGGGGCCGGGAGGCGGGAACGAGGGAGCGTGGTCGTGTGCAGATTGGGGTGGGCAGCAGAGGGATTGTCGTTAATCGACAACAGCGTTAGGTCGGGTGAAGTGGAATGGAGGGAAGCGAAGCAACTTGGTTAAGGAGACTGGGTCACCTTGGTGGGCAGACCTCTGCGTGTTGCTGTGTACGCATTAGCATCATGAACGACCGAGCGGCAAGACGCAGTAAGTGCGGAGGTGGGCAAGCTTGATAGTGCCCACCTCTAAACCCGCTCATGCGTCTCGCCTTGCATCCTATTTTTTACATCAAAGTACGATGCATTGTTTACACACTGTCTATGTACTCCGTGTATATACGGCCTCTGAAACCCAACCAGGATACCGCGACACTGCTAGCCCGGGAGAAGGAGCGGCTGGAGGCGGAGGACGCGCGGCAGGAGGAGGCATGCTCACGGCTGGAGGCGGTGTCCGCGGAGGTGGAGGCGGTTCGGGGCATGCCAGCGGCAACACCGCTGGGGGAGCTGGCGGAGGCGTACGGAAGGATACGAGAGCGATACCGCGAGGAGTACATCATGTACGGGCTGGCGCAAGCCGCGCTGGCGCAGGTGTTGCCGCGCATGCAGGTGCGGCGGAGCCACGGGGGCATCATGGCTTTTGGCGTCCACAGGCCATAGAAGGAACGAGAGTTTTTCCATCTTATCCCATATAAATTGTTTATAAGCGTATATACGCGTATACATGCACTGCAGCAGCACGTGTGCTGAAAATGTATCAGCGAGCGTTCTCTTTGAGCTTCCGTTCACAATCCTCATGCAACAGTTTATGCCGGACATTGCGTTGCCTTTCCGGCGCTGTCTCTTACCATCGCTTACCCCTGCAGGCCCTGCTCAGAGGCTGGGAGCCGCTGTCCGAGCCGTTGCGGGGGGTGCCGGAAATAAAGACGTGGAAGGAGCTGCTGCAGAGCGACGCGGCGGGAGGCGGAGGACCTTACGACACTGTCGGTGCATCGGCAGGCAGCGGTAGCGGCTCCGACGATCCGTACACGCTGTTGGTTTGGGAGGTGGTCTTGCCGCCTGTGCGCAGTTCGGCGCTTAACGGGTGGCAGCCAAGGGACCCCGAGCCGCTGCTCAAGTGGCTTGAGGTGGGTGGCGCAGCAGCTGCTGCACCGCGATGTTGCTGGGATGAGTTTCGTGGCGGCAGCGGTCGCGGTCGTGTTTGGGGTTCCTCATCGTACCACCTTGTGTTGCCGTTCTGCTTCTCATTGCCGCCCTCTTGCCTTCCTCGCGTCGGCGCTGCCAGCCTCCACTTGGTTCCTACTTCACCCGGCAAAGCTGTTTGGGGTCTGTCTCGTTGTCAATCATTTCTCTTCCCCCTCGAGCCCTTTTTTGCGTCATTGACTGGTGTGTCGTTCTCTGCGGTTTTTCTCCTGGAGACCTGGGAGCCGCTGCTCCCTCCCTCTGCGCTGGGCCACGTGTTGGAAATGCTGGTGATGCCCAAGCTGCGGAGGGCACTGGGCGAGTGGGAGCCAAGGCAAGAGACGGTGCCCATACATGCCTGGCTCTTCCCTTGGCTGCCATACCTGGGGCAGGTGCGCGATGCGCTGCAGGGAGGGGGAATGGTGACATGGGGCGAGGGCTTTAGCGAACGTGTAGTGGATCGGAAGGTGAGTAAGGAAACGGTGTTGCGAGCATGGGACTGGGGAGGGGAAAGGAGGGGGACCGTTGTAAAGACTCGAGGATAAGGGATGCAAATAGTGCAGGAACGTAAAGGCAGCGCCGCAGTACCTTCCAGGGGTTCTCCTTGTCCTGGCCTCACTGGGTTTGCCTTATTCAAGCTTTTGATGGGGCAAGAGCGTATGGTGGTGTGGCTATTGACAAAGGGTAGAAGTCGAAAAGATGGAGGAAAGTTGGGCAAGGTTGCGGCTGCACATTTACGATAGGCGCCGATGAGCATAACACCGCGCAAAGATGCATCTCAACATTTTAGACCCGCTTAAGGACGCATAGAAAACCCGCAACGACGCGTCGCGATGGGTGACGGCATGCAGGATGCTCTGTTCGTTTTCATGCGTTCCAACCTATATCGGTACTATACTACAAGCTATCTCCTTGGCTTCCCTTTTCGCCTCAGGCCCTGGACGAGCTGTATCCGCACATACGTCACAAGCTTGATGTGGCGCTGCAGGCCTGGCACCCCAGCGACGGCTCGGCGCTGGTGCTGCTGTCGCCATGGCAGCGCGTGTGGGGTCAGGCGGAGTGGGACGCGTTTATGGCCAAGGTAGGCCGTGGTATGGCGGCATCGGGGAAGGGGACATGTTGCATCGCGGAGTGCCGCGGTTGAAGTTCCATAGTGCTTGTAAGGCTGCACTGAGTGTAAAGTGCGGGAAGGAGGAGAAAGTGCGGGTCGGGGGAGCGGGTGGGGTCCCAGGGTGGGAAGGGTTTGATTTCAATCCTACATGTTTCCTACATGTCCACCGATGCCGCAGGCCATCGTTCCCAAGCTGGCGCTCGCCCTTGGCCAGATGGATATCAACCCGGCAGCTCAGCAGATGGAGCCATGGATGTGGGCTATGGCGTGGAAGGACATCATCAGCGCACAGCTTATGGCCGGTATGCTGGAGAGGGTCTTCTTCCCCAGGTATGTTGTTTTTGGAGCTAACCGGTGCGGTGGGTAACCTGGCGAGGGTCTGGAGGGTTGTACACACTTGCGCCGGCATTGCGTCATTCGACATACAAAGTGGGTCCCCGCCATGGACCAAGCATTTTTCACCCACGTTCCCGACTGGTATAAGAACCTGGTGAATATAATGACGTCGTTCATCCTTTCCATCTGACTGGGATCCCACAGATGGCATGCCGTGTTGCAGCATTGGCTGACCCACGGGGCGAACTTCGACGAGGTGACCCGCTGGTACCTGGGCTGGAAGTCGGCAGTGCCGCAGGGCATCCTGGACCATGAGCGCGTTCGGGCGCAGTTCAACGCTGCCCTCAACACTATGAACTCCGTCCTGGAGGTGCGCAGGGAACCTTAAATCCATGAAGATGACGTGACTCGAACTCTCAAACGAAGAAGGGGGTGGAATGGTGAAGGGGAGCCCAAATGCACCGAGGGGACCCAATTGCTCTTCAGACTCGTATAGCCTGAGGGTCTATGTTGGAATTTGCCGTCACGGTTCAACCTTTTGCGCCGTGCAGGATGGTACACTACCGCCCCAGCCAGCATTCTCAACGCCGTACGACGCCGGCGTGTACGCCGCCGCTGCGGCCGCCGGCGCCGCTGCCGCGGCTGCTGCTAGCCGCGAGCTGACGCTGCGCGATCTGGTGATGCGTTTCGCGGAGGAGAACGGTGTGGAATTCCAGCCCAAGGCGGGCCGCACGTACGAGGGGCTGCAAGTGTACAGTTTCGGCAGCGTGAGCGTTGTGCTGGACAATACCAGCGGTGTCATTCGTGCGCAACTGGGGCCGCGCTGGGCGCCCGTGTCGTTGGAGCAGTTGCAGCAGCTTGTGGTGGCTCGGCGCCGGTAGCAGTACTCGTGGTGCGTCAGATTGTGGCGCTGGCTGCGGCCTTTACGGCCAGCAGGCAGACCAACGCCGCCACCAGCTCAAAGGGAGGGGTTGGGGTTACCGGCAGGGGGCCGGGCTGCTGCGGCAGCTTGCCATGCGAGTATAATGATGGTGGTCTCGTGGTTCCTTGCCAAAAGGCGGTAGCGCACATTTTTGGGGGATACGGACAGCTTCGAAATGCTCGTCTCAGGGAAATGATTGTCTTTCGTCAATCATGAGGGGTCCTCAGCAACCCTGAATGGAAATGTTTTTTCCTTGCATGTGGCACAACAGCATGCTATTTCTTCGTGGGGATGACTCCTATCGTATCCCCTACGCTAGGTGGATGGAGTGGTTGGTGGGGTTAAGAGGGCATAGCAGCAAGAACGGGGGCAATGTTGAGGCACTTTGCGGTGTGTGTACTGCACTGACGCCTGAAGAAGCGCGTTTAGAAACTGACGAATGGAGGGCTAGAACCGAACGTACGAAAGTATTAACGAAAGATGGACCCAACAAATGGAAGCAGGATGGCAGGAGGCTGGTGTGGTCCTGTTGCCTCCAGGTTGGCAGTGGTATAGATGTCGCATCTCCCTTCTATAGTCTTTTTGACGCACGTGGCTTAGAATGCCGCAATTACAAAGAGACAACTATATTTAAATACATCTGCATGCCGATATTATGTTTATGTCTTGGACAGTTCAATCAATCAAACAAGGAGGAACATGAAGGACAACTTCCCGCATTTTCATCACTGCAAAACATTACACCGCTTCACCAACTCAATAAAGGGATCCCCGATCATCACGTCACGACAGAGAGCCATGGAAGATCAGCCCTCCAGAATATATATTCGGTGTGGTGAATGGAGACAGGAAACGTCACGTGTACCTGCGTGTCTCTAAACGGGAGCCATGCCGTCACCCTCCATTTTCTAGGTCGAACACCTTGGCTGTGTGCTCGGAATTTTTCGCCGAACTCTTGCCGACGCAAGGGTGACAATAAAATCTGGCTCCTTGGCTGCTGTTACTCCTCTTCCGCCTCCCGCTCCTCCTGTTTGGCCGCCTGCGGTGTGCGGAGCGAAGAAAGCAAAAAACATGTGAAGCCCAACCCAAATCCATAATAAATTTCCAGCAACGGGTTTCAAGCTTTGGGCTTATCCCAAGATTCACACCCACAAGCAGCCATAACCCACCTGCTGCTGCTTGATGACCGCCTGCGAGCGGAACATCTCCGCTACCTGCGCTGCACTAGTGGCATCCTCTGGTGACTTGTCCTCGCGCACACGGATTAACCGTGGAAATCTGCAGAACGTCATACTAGGCCAGTTAAGCTTTTGGTTAGGAAACAAAAGCAAAGCATGGCAAATGCACGTGCCAGTTTACGATGCGCGTTTTGGGCAAGCACGTGGCATCACGAATCGGTCTCAGATGTTAATTGCGTATGAAACATCGCGCCAATCGATGTATATCGGCAGCCCTAGGCAGCATCAAAAGACTCGCTGGCACGATTTTGACGGAATGCCGTCCTCACGGCCCCATACCGGATGCTGATGCCCTTGCTCGGGTCCACCAGGCCCACTGCCGCCTTGTGTACAGGACTGATGGACAGGTCGGCAGCCTTGACCTCCCACACCGCCACCGCGTCGAACCACACGTCAGGCACCAGCGCATCGCTCCACCTGACAGGGAAACGCACCCACAAACGGGACAGCGTTAGCGCAGTCTGGCCGTAGGCTGTGGCTTGGACTGGACTTTCCCAGTCAGTAATGACAGCGACCAACGCTAAAAGCTAGGGAAAGGCGCATCACATATACATTCCAGCAATGCGCATACGACATGTGAAGTCGTTCCGCGATTCAGTTTTTTCTCCAGTCCGTCCGTGCAACAGCTCGCCATCTGGGCAACATACCGCCATCCTTACTTGTAGTACGGGCGGGGCTGCGGGATGATGTGCGGCCGCATGGAGTCCGCCAGTTGCTGCAGCTGCTCCTCGCTAAACCCGGTGCCAAGCTTGCTAATAGTCTGGTACGTCTCGGTGTCTGGGTCGTACACGCCAAGCAGGTAGGCTCCAAAAAATCCTGATGAGGATGTGCGATGATGAGCCATGTGTAAAAGATGGTGAGAGGAGAAGAATGCGGTGCTACGGCTGGTAAAAGGATGCCAGTTGTTCGGGGACTTTTGCCACCGCGTCAAGGAAATGCCAAATATGGCGCGCGCTGCGTTGTCAGGGTATCACAGAGCAACTGAGGTCCGCGGGTTCATTTTTGTGCATTTGCTACACGGTATAATTTTCGTTGTACTTGACACTTAAGAAGGGAGGTGCGCCAATGTCCACATTAACGACAGCTCGTCCTACGAGGTGCTTGGTGTGAATCCCCTTAGTTGCGGTCCTCCCAATCTGGATATTGTCCCTCACGATTGATAAAGCGGCTCACCAGTCCGCTTGCCCTTGCCGTAGAATGCGCCCAGAGGTACCACGTCGAACGTATCCCCGACACCCTCCTGAACGAGCAAAGAAGAGCAGCCCGGCACCACGGACGATTGGCTGTAGGTGAGGACCACCCGCGCACTGAACAGTCCACCCGCCGGATCCCGGACGCGGTTGGAGCGTGGTGCCAAGCAAAACCCATTTTCAAGGTCGCCACAGAAGGAACACACGGCACTCGCACACTAATATGCATTGCGATAGAGCAGCACATGATAAGTGCACGATGGACAAGCGCGTTAATGAGCACAATACGCACCATGTAATCTTTCTTAAGTTTGAGCCAGTGGCTGGAGCGCTTGGACGGCTCGTACGTGTCCGCGAGCGTTTTAACGATAAGGCCCTCCGTACCTGCCTCCACAGACTCGGTCAGGAAGCTCTGGAGGGACGAGGTAGCCATAAAAGGACAGGGCGTCGGGAGGACTCGCGCGTGCTGGGACACTCAAGGAAATCGTGCTATATCGCCGAACATGTACCAGGATAGTCTCGTGCTGGCCCAAGAGCCCGGGGGCCGTAGGCTTCTTTAGAAGAAGCTCGGATACGTAAGAATCCCCAAGTCGTGCATACGGCCAGTTAGAGACCCGGTTTGAGATTCACACTGAACACAGCACGCCGCAATTTGCAAGTCAGCTCGTGCCTGGAATGATGCCAGAGAAATTGTTGGGGCTGCACCTCGTCTCCGCCCCATCCCCCGTCTTAGGTCCCTTCTGTTTCCGCGCCTTTCTCCGTTCCCGAAAACCCCGAACCCCGCCCTGCCCTTCCCCCAAGGATGAGCCTGCTTCCGCCCTGCCGTCCTTCTTCGAAGCTCGCACCTCCAACTCTTCCACGTCCCGACTGGTCTTGGCCGTTGCAAATTGCAGCTGTCCCTCCTTTTCCATGAGCGCGCCGTACAGTGCCTCGCGACGCTCCGTCAGCGGCTTGTGTAGCAACGACTCGCCGTTGAGGTAGAGGCAGTCAAAGGCGAACAGCACCACCTGCACCTTGATCTCACCCACGGACACGTCCTTACGAGCGCGCGTAGACAACACCTGCATGACACCACGGAGCACAGTAAGCCCCCGGACAAGTGATCGAAGAAGCTAAAGGGACGTTGCAGGCGTCCAGGAAATTCAGGGGAGGTGGTGGGAGCATGAGGAACGCTGCGCTTGAGCTTCCAGGAGACCCACCTTCTCCTGCCGTCGACACCCTCTTTGTCAGTCCCAGCCGCCGCCATTACGGCGCGGCTCGCGAACAAGGACAGTTGGAGGAAAGGACAGGGATCCCTTCGCCCGGGGTGGGCGCGTTACCTGAAAGGGCAAAATCTTCTTCTTCTCCGGGTCGTAAGCTACCGCCTCGCTATCGAACACGATGGACTGGACGTGCGGCTTGAGCAGACCCCGCAGCCGCGCCACGATATCCGGGTACTTGGGCGTGTTGTTCTCGGCGTTCCTGCAGCAGGTGAAGGTAAATAAGACAGGCAGGATGACGACGAATTAGCAAAATCAGGAGCGTAAGAAGTTGGGAGCCTAAGGCATCAGTGTTGTCCTGCAGCAGATTTAGGATGCGCAGTGCCATGGCAGATTGGGAGACAGACAGACACAATTCCACGTCCGGACGTATCTACGGAAGTCCGTTGCGCGCCTCCCTCATGCCCCCCACACCTGCTGAAGATGTGTACGGTCTTGCCTCCTTCCATTACGTGCACCTGTGCCCGTTCGCCGTCGTACTTGTACTCCACAGTGAACTCTGTGTCGGTGAACTTTTCCAGCACCTCTCCCACACCTGTCGTGGGCTGTGCCAGGCAGGAGCGAAACGGGAACAAAGATAACCACCGGGCAAACTTCAGTTCCCCTGCGCATCACTGCTTGCATTAGTAGCCGTGTAGCGTGTTTCAAGACCCCATCCAGGATCAACGCCCGATGGCAACTCATCCCAGCGCACTAGGCCGCCTAATTGCCGTCCCAATTGCATGCTTCCTTATCGGCCCTACCCTTCCGGTTCCCACATCCTGTTCCCCTTCCTGACCTACCTTTGCCAACATGGGCTTGACTGGCACTCCCGGCATGAAGTGGCAGCGGGACAGCAGGTCGGCGGTGCCCTGCTCAAGCAGCGCCGGTATGAGCTGCAGCAGCAGTGGCAGAGCGAAAGGCCAAGAGCATAACACATCCCGGTGTTGGCACCCTGGTCTCACGAATAGATCCGCACAGACGTACGAATTTCACCTAGACCACAGACACGAGCGTTACGGACTTCACTCACCACGTCGTAGGACGGGCACTCGCTGTATGCCTGCTTAACCACCTGCGCCGCCGCCTCCAGTTTCTCCGCCAGGCGGCCGTCCTTGTCCTTGACACCCTCCCTATGCAGGTGCACAGCGTGGGCCAGCGCCACCAGCACGCTTTGCTCAGCCAGCCCGATACGCAGCTTGGCCTGGTGGGTCACCGGCCGAAGAGGCAAGGAGTTTGGGGAGGACACGGGGATTGGAGAAAAGGGCCGTATGGATGCTGCAACAGGGATAGCAGATAATGATCTTGTGCTGTTAATATCGTGTCGCTGCGCGTGCAGTGACGTGGCAATCAAGGCCGCGTTTGAGGGTTTTGTAGCTTCTGAATCGAGGGCTTTGACATATCAGACTGGATTTGCATCGACGTCACGAGTCTCTCTGCAGCCCTCACCTGGAGCGAGCGGATGATGTAACCCGGCTCGTTACCCTTGGCCGCGACCAGCATTTTGACAATCATGCCGCGCTTGATGTCCACGCTCTTGCTGCCAGCCACCTGAAGCGGAGCGAGTGTGGTGGAATGAGTTGACGGAATGGATGACTGAGCTGCAGTGAAGGCCGGGCGCCTGAGCTCTTGGAAATATCCGAAGATCTTGACCGGGCGCTAGATGAGTTTGGGCCAGGTGCCAGCCGCCAAGGCTATGGGCCAGGCTTCCTTATCAGTCGTCCCGAGTCAAGTGGTGTGTGTGTGTGTGTGTGTGTGTGTGTGAGTGGTGGTCCCTCTGTGTGTCACCGACGAGCACCTATTCCACGAGTACCTGACCCAGATCAGCGAAGACATGCCCGGGCCCTGCACCTGTGCAATGTCTCGGAAGCCCTTGAGCACGTTGGCAATGGTGAGCGGCGGCGGAGTAAACATGGTCCGCTGAGTGCTGCGCGCACCTGATTCGGTGGTCGGTTGGTTCAAAACGTTCACAGAGTTTAGTCGCACCGCTTGGGTGGGAGAGGTAAGGGGACGCATGTCGGCGTCTGGGATGCCCATTCCATACACCTGTCAACGCAGCTAAGAACGACGAAGCGACCACAGTCGAAAACGGAAAAAAGGACTGCGTTCCAAATGTGCTGTATGCTGTAAGTTGCCCACCATGATTTGAGCCCTTGCTCTGAACCACCGCATTTACTCACTCGTGTTTATCCCTCTACACTACTCCGTGCACACTGAGACGCACACACGTACTTACACACGCATCATGTACGTGCATCTATTGCTGGTTGGTGCCTTCCCGCAGCCCCATTTGTTGGGAAAGTACATGCCGGGCCCCCGGGTTTACCTACCAACAGCAACAACTCCCAGGTCGCCGCTGGCCTCGTACGCCTTCTTAATGCCCGCCTCGTTCTTGCCAGTGGCCTCACACAACGCCTGGAGGGCGGCGGACAAAGAAACACCGCGGTGCCAGGCATGACCCAGATGCCAACGGCCCAAAGGGTGGGAGAGAGGGTGCTGATAATGAGCCTAACAAGACCCAAATGAGAGCAGAAGGAAACGCCGGAAAGTCCCCCCGTCCGTCCTCACCCTCTTCTACCGTGACCTGACCAGCGAAACCACATCTCCAACCCCCAGAATGTAATCCCATAATGGCCGAACCCCCGATACCGACCGCTTCCCTTCCCTGACTGACACACCTTAATGAGGGTCGCCTCTCCGATGCCCAGCTCTATCCCGGTGTGTGACGGTGCCACTCGGTTAACGCACAGGTAGACTGCCGGCAGCAGGTCGGGTGGATTGGTGTCCAGTACAGCCCGGAAGGCCGCCACCAGGTGGGCCACAATCTCCAGTCGCTTGCTGGTCCCCGCGATGGCCTGACGGTGGGTTTATATGGCGGGGGCACATGGTGCGGCGTCCAGAGGGCCAGAGGTTCATTGAAGGAAAGACATTGAAAACGCGGATGAGGCCCAGATGAGCCTGAGTGAGGGGACCAGGGGTGTATGGCCAGGAGAAGAAGGAGGCATCGGTGTTCGAGAACCTAGCCATGCTGAGCACAATTCCTAACCTAACTATTGACACGCAACCCACGTTCTTCCTCGCCCTCAACACTCATGCACACCCGTCCACAGACCTCGAAAGTGTTTGCTAGCAGTGAGTATGGCACTGGGGTGCCCTTCTTCCAGGTAATGAGCTTCGTGATGTCGGCCTCCGCGTACTTGGTCGCGGCGGCTACGGCGCCTGTACCCACACCCTCCATCTGCGGCAGAAGGCAGGTTTGCCGTCGGCAGCTTGAAATCAGCCAATGTGTCCAATCGTTCAACGCAGACAGAACAATCCGCACGATGGCACAGGACGGACCGCAGAAGGGTCAGTCACGTACGCCAGCAGATGGGTTCGCTTTCGAGGCTAGGGAACCCACAAGTAGACCCGCGCTTCCAAACTCATTGTGAAGAGAGCCCTGCTTAGCGCGCCTCTCATATATGGAACTGGAATGGCCAGCGTGCAAAACCCGCATCGCCGGTAAATTACATAGCCAAGAGATAACCAGACGTGTACTTACACTCTCGTTGCCCTCCTCCTTTCTCTTCTCCCTGGATATCAGCAACCCAAACCTTCGCCCTCATCTCCTTTCCCTGCCCTGTCCCCGCGATGCCATGGCGTCATTACTCAGACGGCAGCTTGACTTGCTTGGTCTGAGTGCGCGCACGTACCTTGTCGGCTCCCTTCGCGCCTTTGGCCGCCGTCTTGGCACGCTTTGCGCCTTTTTTCTTGGGTGCGTCCGCCAAAAGCATATTTACCTCGCCCCCTGCATCCTCATCGCTATCCGATATAGGATCCTTGTCTCCGTCATCATCATCTTCATCGTCCTCTGCCGCCGCCGCCGCCGTCACTCCCGGCCCGTCGCGCTTGCCTACCCTCCCGGCCGCATCGGCCTGATCCTCCTGATCACCATCATCATTTGCCGCTGTGGCTTTGCTTCGCTTGGCGGCCCTGCCAGAGCTACCTGACGGTGAACGGTCTGGACCGGCGGAGGCTAGGGCGGAGACCGAGGCAGGCGCCTTGGTGCTTCCTCCCGAACGCGCGCGAGTTGGCGAGGAGGAGCTCGTCCCAGCCGCGGCCTTCCGGGCTGCAGGGCGCTGGAAGATGGGCGCCAGGGGCGCCCCAGAGGCGGCCGGCTTAAAGCTAGGGGCTGTGGCAGTGGCGGCCGATTCGGGGGCGGGGGAGGGCGATGGCTGTGCGCCCCCTGAGACCGACACGACCTGCTGTGCTTGCCCCGGCTGCTGTCCTTGCGGCTGCTGCTCCTCCTCTTCCTGCTGGGTTCCGGGATGGGCCCGAAGGCAGCGTTTTAGGTGGAGCATTTCACGCTAGCCACGAGCCAAGTAAGCGGACAAAAGATGCATAGTATAGAATTTGGCCCCGGCTCCCATAAGGTTATGCTGTCATGGGGTTAAGGATCGTAACACCTTGCGCTGATTCGTTGCCTACCTGGGGTCCTTGGGGTGACTCTGCCACAGCGGCGACGACCCCCGGTCCTTGCTCCTCGGAGCTACGTTGCGGGGTCGCACTACCCCCTTTAGCAGCAGCTTCACGCTTCGATGGCTGAGGGCTAGCCTCATCATCATCCTCGATGACTGTTCGCCGCAGGCGCTTCCGTGCCGGTTTGGCTAACCCAACAAGCTGCTCCGACTCGTTCTCCTGCCCCCAAAGACACAACAGTATGGTAATCTTCCCAGACTAGAGTAAATCTGTACGAGGAAATACCGAAATTCGGACCTGGTCGCTAGTGGTTTCCTTGGTGTCGACTGGCTTTGGATCCACGACCAGCGCGCAATTTCCTTTCGTGACCTCTTTTCCAGCGGGCTTTGTCCCCGAGAAGAATGCCCCAATGCTTTTCTGCTTCATGTTGGCCGCTGGGGGAGGGTCAAATTGGCGCGAAGCTTTAAAAATTTACTTCTTAGCAATGAATAAGTGAAAGATGCCTAGATACACTAACAGTACATATAGATCAGAACGGCAAATGCATTATGGAAGGCGCAAATTAGCAAGGACGTTCCGACTTTTGAGAGCTCCAAAGGGCTGAAGCTTTAGTTGTAATCCCACCTAGCGGACGATTTGTAGCTATGTGATGATGTAACGATGGCGGAGTAATCAAGGTAATTTTGGTGAATATGTTTGTGAAACGCGACATGCGTGGCAGCATGCGCTGCATGCAATGCGGTATGCACTTTGACAGTACTATATTAGGAAACGAGCCCAAGGAAGCTTTCAAAGTCTTTAGACTAAAGGTCACAATATAACTGCCCGCAGCAGGGCCCCGGGTTGTGAAGCAGTGCGCGACGGAATCGTACAAGGTCAAGATCTAGGGTTAAGCTGACAGATGAAGCCAGGAAGTAAGGATTTGCACAGAACGAACGTTTAAGGATCAAACCTTCGTATACATTTATTACTGCAACTCATCAAATTTTTAACGACCGAAGCTCGGAATGCTGCCGAACTGCTCAACCGCTGCCGAGTACGCGGCGGGCTTCCAATCCAGTTTGAAGAAATTGGTTGCACCCAGATTGGAAGGCATGTATAAAGGATCTGGCGTTTGGAGTGGTAAATCTGCTAGCCGCGATGTTGTGACCTTTAATGGCATGTACTTATAAAACTTGTGCAGGTGACACACAACGTACAGCACAGATCCTTGATATCCGCCTGCGTGACGCAGCTGGTCTGACATGCACTCTCGCGTTGGTTAGCAAGTACTTCGACGATAACGGTGGGTTCGACTGGGTCCAGTGCTCTATCGCCTTCGATGTCTTGAAACCGCACGTGACTCTGAACCACGAGACCATGCAGTGTGCTTAGAAGTTCACCAAACAAAAGGTTTACAAGTACGAGCCATCGACCAAGCCAAGGTGCGGAGCGGCCGGGCCGAAGGAGCTTCTAGCGAAGACAGGTGTTAACAGCGTCACTCGACGGCGCAACACAACCTTACGCGTGCGCCCCGACTATAGCATTTCAATAATGTTTGGTAGTTCGTCAGCGCAATGTTAAGAATCCTCACTCTGCCCAATCCAGGCCTTCTGCTTGCCACAGCTTATGGCAGCTCTGCGCTAGCCCTGTCCCCCCAGGGGAAGTCCTTCTTATGATGTCGACCCTCGTTCGCGTTTTACGGCTGTGCAGTGCAGCTTTGTGGATGCGTTCTTCCCAGCATCGACCGCCCATGGCCTTGTACCAGTGTTCAGTCGTTTCGACTGGTGAGTATCTGATGCTATTGAGTGATGTTTCATGTTTCTCCTATCACCGTCTCATGCTTCCTGTATCTTCACCCAACATTTTTTTAATGACACGGCGCTGTGAGTACTCTCTCTCCTGCGTTCAGCGACCGGGCATACTTTCCGATGTGGATAGCGCCTGCGCTGTTAGGCCGGGCGATCCGCACCGCCACGGAAGGCCGTAAGCGCGTAGCCAGCGGCAGGTCCTTCGTGCTCCATTTGAGCATGGCTGCCTCCGACCCAGATCATCTTGTGCTGGAGGCTGAAGTGGCGGCAGGATCCGGACAACGGTCATTGGGGGTCGTGAAGAGCACGCGTCAGGAGCTGGCCTTGCTAACCCCTACTACCGGTGAGTCGTCATGCGGCGCTGTGGGAGCCAACACAGGCTCCGCTCGTTTACTTTGCACGTAAAGGCGCTGGCTTAACTGGTTCCTGCCTTCTTGGATTTGCATGCCAAAGAATGTTACAGGTGGATAGTAAAAACGTTGACGCAGTTACGTCGTGCAGTAAAAACAGGATGTGGTGCTCTGATCGTGGTTGCGCTGACTCACAGGCCTGCCATGCGCATGTACAGTCACGTGCTCTGTGATTGAGCCAGTTGTGCGATATCGGCATGCGCAGACGCGTTAAGTTGCTTCGTGGACGGCGACGCCTTCACCTTTACAGCCGAGGCGCTCTTCGAAGCCCCCGACCTCCTTGCTGATGTGAGCTGCTGGGTGCAACCGCTGTTCGCCGTGTGGAATGTTCTTCCAACAATCGCATGCGTCGTTGAGTGCTCTCCGCAGCTTCAAGGGTTATGGGCGCCTGAGCTTTGCCCACTCCCCTCGGACTGCATCGCAGATTCTATCGGACGTCAGGTCTAGCGGCTGCGAGGAGGTCAGCCTAGCCCTCGGGCCTTCAAGCTTGCAGCTCAGCGGCAGGGCAGGCGACAACTGCTCTAACCTGCAGGTGTCGTTGCGGGGAAGTGCAGGCCCCGGGATGGGCGCGCTTTCCCTCAACGCACCAAAGGGAACCGTACAGACACATTTCAAGGCAGGTGCGTACTTCGCCTTATCCTCGCAGGGCGACATGCGGGCAAAACGATATCTGTTCAGGGCATTTGCATTGAGCAAAATGTTCCTTTTGGACATGTTCTCAACTGTCGCCATCTATTGCGTTGTGCCCAACTGCTCCGCGTGCATGTAAGTGCATATATCCTTTCAACGTTCCCTGACATAGCCCCGTCCCGGTTCTGTGTATACCCCACGAACATTTACGCAGGCGCGCCATCTGCAGCGCCTATCCCACCTGTGCGCTGACAGCACTTGCGTGCTGCTGCAGGCGGGCGAGGAGGCGCCGTTGAGCGCAACCTTTGAGCTACACGGTGGAGGTACCTGCCAAATTTTCATCGCGCCTTGCTTAGAGGACGAGCTTCAAGACGAGGAGAAAGAGGGGCAGGGGTTCACATCTATCAAGGCCGCAGAAGTCAGCAGGCGACCCGGGAAGCGCTGTGTCGCGGAGGTGGTCAGCGAAGGCTGCAGCGGTGGCAGCAGCGGTGCCGGCGATGGCGGTTGGGGCGTAAGCCCGCGGGGTCGAGTGAAGCGCGCTGGAGCTGCTGCTTGTGATGAGGCGACGGTGCCGTACAACGGAAGCGACTCTGTGCTAACTGTGACGGCAAGATCGCAATGCCAGCAACAAGATTGACGAAGACACACGACTGATGGCGTATATAGGGGGTGCTACATGGTCTTTCTTGTGCATCCGAGATGTCCTTAAGGATGTCCCTGCAGCAAAAACTGCCATGATGGTATGAAGCGTCCTTAGGCCCCTGTAAGGACTGCTGTATGTTCACGTCATACGTTTAGGAAAACGCTCTGCAAGCGCGTAGGTGTATCCATTACCGTACGCGTTTTTGGCTGGCTAGAAGGCAGGACTGAAGATTTTCACGAGACGGGAGAACTCCCGGGAGAACTGGCCATGCGTGAGGTTATTGGTCATTATTGGCCCATTGGGGGACTGTTAACCCCGGAGGAAGTATTACTACATGGGCATTGTGAAATTGAAAGCAGCCCCTGCATGATACCCGGCTGGTGGCGTAGCTAGCATTGGGGCCGTTCCTGCGAAGATTATCCGTAATTCATTTTCATATAGACGGTATGGCGCTTGCATAGTGTGCATTTTTTTGATGCGGGAAAAGAAGAACATGGCTAGCAGACGTCTGGGTGACGACCGCGGTGATGTGCGCGTGCATACCGAGTCCGTGCGCTATCGACGGTGCCGTACTTAATGTCGCCGTTGCGGGCCAATATGTGTATAGGGTGTCCATATCACCATGGATTGCACAAGCCGAAAGAAGTGTCACAAGTGACAGCGCCGATGTTGAAATTCTGGTGGCGTCCCCCAACCCGTCCGAAACACAACGTCCGCGCGACCCCACGTGCCGAGTAATGAGATTAGCACAGCAAGCACGTGTGGTCAGCCTTTCCTCATACCGCCAAAAAGTCTTCGACGTTTGCAACGTGCGTCCGAAATATCCAATTATATGTCTCGACACCTTTCAATACATTGTCCGATTGGCAAACATGTCCATATTCCCATTCCAGCACGGCAAGGTCAAAGAGGTCATTACGTGCAAGTATAAAACGTCTGTAAACAAAGACATGCCAAGCCGCCTTTCCGCCTGCAGTCGCCCGCGAGCACGCCATCCACATTTCAGGAAAACGTTGTACGGAGGGTCTTAATCTAACCGAACAATACCACAACCAAACGCTGCCGTGGCCGCACACGAAACCTCCTGGTGCCTGGGCATACACGCGCTGTGCTCGCCACACAGCCCGTTTGCTGTGCACGCAAAGGAAGGCGACCACCTGACCTACGCTCGTCTCTAGATGCCCCGACAGACATCGGCGACTTGGGTTCGTCGTCTCCGCACTTGCCAGCCCAACAGACGTGGAGCTAGGCAGTCCCGTAAGGTCCCGTTAGGAGGCTCCGCCGAACGCGCTCAGAGGTGCTTCATCAGCTCGGAGCCCATCTCGCTGCACTTGACCAGCCGGGTATCCGGTCCCTCCCTGCAGGGATCAGGTATGTGCGCCGGGTACGACGACGTCAAGAAGAGGGAATTGGAGGCAAGAAATGGGAGAGAAAGACATGATATATACGGCCCCCCTCGCCCTTGTTCCTCTGCATATCGCTCGACACCACGCAATGGGTTCCGTAGACTACCCAGCCCCTTTTTCCATACGCAAGCCCACATGCACCACCGGCCCGGTTTGTGAAATGGAGGAAACCCCTGCCGTTTGCGGATAAACATGTTGCGCTGTAGCGCTGCAACATTGCGGTTACGGTAACCCACTTGTAGATATCTCCGGTGCGCAGTCCGGCGTCCAACACTGCATTCACCGCGGCCTCCAGGCGGTCAGCCACCTTGGGGATGGACAGGTCGTACCTGCTCGAGAAGAGCGGAACCGTATAACATCAAATGGAAAGCAAAAAAGACCATTGTCAGCATCAGGATGTCGGGGGAAGAGATTTGCGTTACAGGACTTGGGGCCGCAGCACTTCAATTGGGAGTTCAAGTGTTATGTGACGCCCTAGCGCGCAAGACCTGCGGCCAAGGGGCCTCGAACAACGCCCTGCCCTCCTGTATCCTTCCATGCCTTCCAGACACAAGATAGGAAATCACTACTGCCTACACTACTCTCCATTTGAGGGCTGCATGTAAACGGGCTGCACACGACCCAAACTATACCAGTACGGGCCCCCCATCCTTGCAATTGCTGGCAGTTTCAGTGCCTGTCAGCATTTCAGCAGGCCTGCTCCCCGCCTGCTTCGGCACCCCCCGACTCATACCCACCTGCACATCATGGCTGCAGACAGCACCATGGCCAGCGGGTTGGCCACGTCCTTGCCGGCAATATCTGGCGCGCTGCCGTGCACGGGCTCATAGATGCCGGGGCCGCTGCCGCTGATGGAGGCGGAGGGCAGCAGGCCTAGCGAGCCCGCCAGCATGGACGCCTCGTCCGACAGAATGTCCCCGAAGATGTTGCCTAGTGATTGTACGGCACACGAGTGCGTCGGGTGATATTAAGCGCGAAATCCCAGCCGCCAACATTGCGGCCCGACACCCCCCTCTATGCAGCCACACCCCGTGCTTGAGACGCCCCCAGCCGCCTATGCTGCCTCCCTTTGCTGGCTGCACCAGAACCTGCCGCACCCCGCCCGCCCCGCTCCGCGTGAGACTCCCTGGTGGCGCCTTGCAAGCCTACCTGTAACAATGACGTCAAAGTACTTGGGGTTGCGCAGTAGCTGCATGGCAGCATTGTCGATGTACATGTGGCTCAGCTCCACATCTGGGTAGTCCTTGCCCACTCGGATCACCACCTCCTTCCACAGCTGGCTCACCTGTGCAGGAGCAGAAGGAAGCGCGTGCGTCAGGACCAGGAAATCGCCATTCTGCAGCATGTCGCAAACTTGAAAGACCTTAGTGATTACGGCGCAGATGGAGCAGCGCGGTTGAGGCGGCCTGGGAAATGCCAAATGCGAGGCACAAATGGGGAGGTGTGGCCCCGTCGCGTGGAAGTTGCATGCGTAGTCTTCAAGCCGTCTTTAAACCTCTTTGCTGATGTGCTGTCATTGCGCACTCACAGCCGCGAGTTTTGCGTCTGTCAGGTCAGGTCAGATCCACGCCCCTGGGCCCTGGCGCGTCTTGCCCACCCCCTGCGCACCTCCAGCACGTTGCTCTTCTCCACGCTACACAACCGCTTGCTGCGCTTGCGAGCCGCCTCGAAGGCCACGCGGGCAATGCGCTCCACCTCAGGCTCACTGCGTGGGCCGACGGGCGAAGGGGAATCCAGAGGACAAACGCAGGAAGGCAGCGTCAGGAGGACGGCCCTCCGGTTGCTCCCATTGCGATCACCACGTCAAGACGCGGTATCCGCCTTCTCTCTGCGTGAAAGAACTCCCCGGGACGAGCCTTACCTGCTCTGGTGCTACGGCCGAAGTGGCCCTCTGCTGGCCGTTCCCCCTGCTTGCCTGAATAGATATACAGACGGAATCCAAGCAAAATGCGATACTCTTGACCCCCAACCGCCCGGATTCGACCAGTGGTGCTGTTGTCACCGGGGAGTCGGTACCGCTCACCTGTACACGTCCGTATTGAAGCCGATGCGCTCGCCCTTCTCGTTGACGCCGAAGCCGCGAGGCTGGCCAAAGTAGATGCCCCCCACCAGCTCACGCACAATGAGGATGTCCACTCCCTCCACCAGCTCGCGCTTCAGCGGAGAAGAATCCGCGAGCTGCCGAAAGGCGGAGCGGATTTGGAGACCATAATGGCACGTGACGTAAGTAAAACAAGATTGCGGGAAATGCCAGCGGTTAAAATGCCGAGGCTGATATCCCTGACGTCGCGGCTCACAGTCACCAACCAGCCCTCCCAGGGAAGCTTTCCTTCCTTACGCATTCCATCCCGGCCACAGCCACAGCTGTATCACAGCTGCAGATATGAATATGATCGGGTGCGCCCTTGGGACATTCCCTCGGCGCGTTACTCCGCACGAGGATGCTTACGCAACCTCCACACCTCCCAGCTCATGCCTGCTGAGACTGCTCGGCTGCTGCGACATATGGCTAGCAGCAGCCCTCCCTGGATCGGATCTGACCTATCCATGCTCGCTCCTCCACCGCAGGTGCCTTCACTGCTGTCACCCGCACTCGGTACCGCCGGGGGATCCACTGCTGTAGTCACCAGTGCTGCTACTGCAGCTACTGCTCTACCCGTTGACAGCGGCGCTGTTCATTCACCCTCTGCTGCTGCTGCTGCCACGGCCGCCGCCTCCCACCGGGCCGTATCTGCACGGTTACCAGCCCTGGCCATCATCCCGGCCGCCTTCTCACCACATTTCGCTGAACAGCGCCCTGTCAGCGCTGCACAGCCCTTCTGCGCTGTCAGCGCTGCCCCCTCCCTGGCGTGCTATAATTGAGCCTTGGCGGCTGACCAACCTAGAATCTTGCCGATATGCCTTCCAAACGGAACTTTGGTATCCTCTCCTTACATACAGAAAGGTCAGTTTCCCGCTGGCCTTTGTTGCAGCGCTTGCACCCACCTGACGAGGCACGATGGCGGGACGAAGGTTAGCAAAGGCGTTCAGACCCGCACGGATTGCCAGCAGGCCCCGCTCCGGCCGCTGGGCGCTGGGAAGCGTGTCCCACTTGTAGCTGGGGAGTTGGGAGAGGGATGCGCCGGGGGCAGGGTAGGTAAGAAGCTGTGGCCATGTATGAAGGGGCTCGTGTATGTCCTAACATCGTGTTGTGGTCAGCGTGCCTCATGGACAGCCGCCGGATAGATATCCCTCTCTATGATTTAGGTTGATTAAATCGGTACTGGGGAGTGGTTAAAAGGTAAGCGAATGATCATGGGTAAGAGTGGTCAATGTCGGCTCAACACTTCAGTTGTGCCCGGTGCGAGTAGTTGTTCACCAACGGGTCCAGGTCGCATACACAGGGAGTAGCTGCGCCAATCGAGCAAGACCATTTTCAGAATTAAGCAGCGTTTGGAGAACATTTGATAGATGGCATGGACGCCTTACGTAGGTGGCCTACCCGCCGATTGCCGCAAGCAGCACGGCGTCGCTCTCCTTCGCCGTAGCCAGAGTCTCATCCGGAAGTGGTTTGCCAGTTGCATCAATTGCGGCGCCACCGATTAGGCAGTACTTGTATTCAAAGTCCTCGCCCTCCTTAGCGCCGGCCATGGTGAGTGCCTTGGTAGCCACCTCCATAATCTCCGGGCCGATACCATCGCCAGGCAGTACGCAAACCTTGTGCACTTTACATACGGTTGTAATTTGAGCGGAGCGCGAGATGCGACCAGGAATGAGCACTTGCCGTCCCACCAGGCGCCGGCAAGCCACGCTGGCGGCACGGCCGATTCGCTTCCCGGCGAGAGCCATTTCAGGAAGATGACCAGATGATGTCCAAGTGGAAAGGAGGGATCCTGGACAGTTAGTGCCTTAGTCTGCATACGCGACTGTCGTACTCAGATTGCAAATTATTAAATGCTACTCGCCTTTTCTGCTCCAAAGCCTATAACTTAAACATCTTATTGCACATTTGCCTTGGAGGCAAAAAAGCTATGAATAACTGAGACCGGCAGGTCTCCGTTGACCTTTACTTTACGTATTTGACTAGAAAATCCTAGGTCGCACCCCACCACACTGACAATATGTCGCATTTAGTTGGAGCGAGGCTACTCGTACCGGGCACAGCATGGCGGCCCAGGCAGGCAAGTGTGTTATATTGAAAATAAACAACACGGACCGTCTTCGCAAGTGCACTGGATTGCGCTGCACTTGTTTTTCACGTCATCCCAACAGTGTGAGGTTTGACTTCGTGCAACCTCCTACCACGGCCTTCTCTTCTGCCTCGTAGGAGACTCCAACTACAGCCGATGTACTCCATTTCGCCCGGCCAACTAGGGGTTATCCTGAGGGGCGCATTCAAATCCTTTGCGATGACGGGACAGTTACATGGTGGGACGTTTCGAAGCTCAATCCCGATTGGATCACAGCCCATCCGGACCCGGCCTCTGCCAAGACTTTAACGCCCAATAGCCGTGGCGGCCGGCGATCAGCAGCCACAACCCCCAATACCACCGGCCGTACGGGCCGCCGGCGACGTTCCTCCCGTGCCGGCGACGGCTATGACAGCAGTGGCGCTGGCGTCCTCAGTGACGGCGAGGGCCTAACACCCAAGCGGCTGAGCCCGGAGGGACCCGTAACTACTACGACTGCCGGCACCGCTGAAGAGGCACAAACAACAGACGGCGTCGGCATACCCCCGGGTACAGTGCCCGAGTCCGAAATGCGGCGCCGTAACCCTCCGCGCAAATCGCTTCGCTTCGCACCAGGAACCGTCAGCCCCAATGGCCACGCGACTGCTAAGGCCTCGGCATCCAATCTCGGCACCCTTGCGGGAGCTACGGCAGCAAGAGCTACCGTACCTCCATCGTTGCCCTCCACGCAGCCCATGAGCCCACTCACGTCCCCACGCACCAGCGAGGGCGGCTTGGCAGGAAAGGCTGCGGCACCTGGCTACACCTCGGCTCCGCCGCGCCTTCCCTGGGAGCGGCGCGTCCGCAACACGTTGATCATCTTCCTGGTTATGCTTCCTGCTTTCTACTTCCACCGCCAGCTGCACTATGGCTGCAGCGAGAGCCAGTACATGCGGCCCTTGACGGCTGTGTGGGCCGGCGACTTGCGGGCTATAACCACCTTAGACTTCTGGTGCGCCGTTGGCTACCAGGAGCCCCTGTTAGTGGTGAATTTGGTCTTCTTCCTCAACGTGGGGATCCTGTTCTGGTTCATAAGCGTGCTGCAGGTATGTGACACGCAATGGTTTATGGGAATAGCCTGGTTAAAGTTGGGTCCAATGTGCTCGTGAAAGGGCTGCAGCGGGCACCTACATGCTTCAAGGCAAAACACGTGAAGAGAAGTCCATCATTTTGTTGCAATGGGTAGGCTGATTGTTTGGAGAGGCCAAGGTATCCGGTGTCAGCTTTTTTTCGAGCACTTCATGCGCTGTGCTGTGCGCGGTTCCTAGAAGTTGCATATAGAGGTGCTCTGGTGACTACCACCTGTGACATGATAGCTCCTTATGTTGTGGCTCGTGCATTGTCGACACAGCACCAATCCGAACAGAATATAGAGCTCTTCCCGGTTGCTCGACTAACAGCGCCCTATTCCACCGCATCCCTGTGCCATGCATTCTTGCCGAATGTGCCATACACGACACGGCGTTTTGCCTGATGGCGCAGGGAAGCACCTGGGTAAGCTACTAGGAATTTCCTCGACGAAGATAAGGGCTTGGCAGTGGCCCAACATGGTGCTTTGTTGAGGGAACGGGTCGTTGGTTTCCACGTCATTGTCACTTGTGCTGCGTTATGTCAGTGGGTGGTTTCGGTCCCTTCTAGGTGTTGGGCATACAACCGTCTTAGCAAGGTGCGTAGCAATACCTATCCCGTCGTGCTGATAAGCTGGTCCTGTTGGTTAACCCTGCAGTTGATCGACCCCTTCTGGACCATCATCCCCGTCCTCATCGGGACCTTCTACCAGTACCACCCTGCGGCGACCACCCAACCGCTGCGCAGTCGTCTGGCCATGGGCTTGCTCTGGATCTGGGCGGTGCGGCTGACGCATTCGTACTTCCGCAGGTCGGTGTATGCGATTGGACGAGGCAGTTGCAACCAAACTAATTACGAGGCAGGCGCACCTGGCGCTATAGAGCCGTGCGTCCGTTGAAGGCATGTCAAAGCCCCATTGAGCAATTAAGTATTCCGGGGCGTTGTCGTGGATTTCCTCAGGGTGGCGGCTCTAGTTCCGCACCAGCAGGTCGCAGCCACCAAAGCGGCGGGCGTGGGTGGGCAGTAGCTGTTCAGTTCATGCAGCGGGTTTGAGAATTGAAAGCTCGGCTACTTTCGGAGCTGTGACCCGTGCCTGCCTTAACAAGCTAGGCCACCATGCCCTGAACCATTTGTGCAGGGAGGAATGGCAGGTTGGTGCCCGGGAAGACTGGCGTTATGCGCGTATGGCGCAGAGCATGAGCCGCACCTGGTGGGTAGTCGTGTCGTTCTTTGCAGTGGGCGTCACGCAGCAGCTCATGCTTGTGGGCATCACACTGCCGCTGCTGGCAATCCATACCTCCACGGCGCCTTGGAACCCCATTGTGGACACGGCGATCTTTGCGTCCGCCGCGACAGGTAAGGGTCGGAGGCCTTCATGGAATGCCGGATACCTGATGCGAGTGAAGCCTGTATGGCTTGGTCTGCTTGGTGGTCGAATGGGCATAGAATTCGCGGCTCTCCGATCAGTCGCGTCCGTAAACTCATCCATGATGTGCGGCTTGACAATCTGGGGTGCAGGTATCATGGTTGCCCTGATCGCTGATAACCAGCTGCGTGACTTCATGGTGGAAAACGAAAAGCGAGCGCAGGAGGGCCGAGTGCGATTGCTACTGCTGGACACAGGTGAGTTGAGTGGCCTCCCTGCATGTTTTGTGCATGCCTTGTGCCTTGGTCGCAGACCCCACATGCTGCACGTAGGAGCGTTATGGATTAAGCCGTTTCTGTCCTGTGTTAAATCCTTGGCGCCGTCCAACTCCTTTGCGCACAAAATAGTTTCCTGCGTAGTTCCTAGCTTCCCATGCGTGTGCCTTTACGGGTTTCGTGGGTTTGATGCACCATTTGTTTACCTGCTCTGGTGATCGTTCCCAGTCAAGTGTGACAAGCTTCACCTTACTCCTCATGTGTGTTGTTTCTTCTCAGGTTTGTGGCGCTACAGCCGTCACCCGAACTTCTTTGGCGAGCAGCTGTGGTGGTGGTCGCTCGGAATGTGGGCTGTGATGTGCGGCCAATCTTGGATGCTTGTTGGCGCTGCGTTCAACTCTCTCTGCTTTGTAAGTCGAAACACCCATGTGCGTCTCTCCATGCCGATGCGCATGCCATTTGCCCTCAGGTGGTATTAATTATAATGCGACTTGTACGCTGCAGATCTCCATCACCCGCATGACCGAGGCGCGCATGCTAGAACGCTCGGAGAGAGCAAGTATTTATTGCCACTACCAGCGGACCACCAGCGTGTGGATCCCGTGGCCCAAGCGTGCAGCCACAGCTTAAGCAGGACGTGACGGAATTTGCGGGAACGACTGTCGCGAATAAGGATTTTGGCTAATTTGCCGGGACAAATATTGCGATTTCCGTTTGTGCTACAGGGCGTGCATCACGCCGTCATAGTTGCACGAGCTTTCATGAAGATTTTGAAGCGTGTGGGGCGGAATTGATTGGGGGGAGTTGGCAGGTGGTTGATGCTTGCCAAGGAATAGCATCCTTTACCTGAGCATAGGATCAGCGTCGATGTGTACTCTATCTAGAGTTTTTTATTAATGCCTTTACAGTAGCATTAGGACCGTGCATAATGGGGATGCTCGGCACTGAGCCGTATCAACGTGATTATCCTTTACATCCTCCTCTTTGGAGATGTACGTTGAATCTCTTGATGTGGTACTCGTCCCTTGAAGTATTGGATTAAATATCTCAGAAACCTCAGAAAATCCTGAAATAATTAACGTGTATCATTCTTGTACCTGTTACATGGTCATATTACACATCAGTACAGATCTAATACAAATTACAGTATAAGGGAACAAACATCGATAGAGTCCCATTCACATTCCTATATAGCCGCGTTATAGCGAAGAAATGGGTAAAAGAATTACATACCAACAAAAAACCAAACGTTAAAAGACACATTTCATAACCGAACAACACCACGCCCATAAACCTCTCACTCCACTCTCATCACTCCTAGCAAGCCAGGAAACTGGGGTCCGACGGGGTGATATGCAGCCATAACGGAATGCAAACAATCCCCAATGAACTCCCATACGTCCTCGCACAAACGACGCACTCCAAACGACATGGTCTGCCCATCACGATGTCATCCGCTCCTCAATCCCTGCGTAGGCCCCTCGACACCCACTATTCGTCATGAACGAATGTCCGGTGATCCCTCCTCTCAGCTGTCTTCCCTTCGCTCCAATCCGCTCACACCTAGAAGATGCACAGCTGTACATTATCCCACAGCTAGCTGAATCATGAAGCAGCGCTGGTGCATTGGTCTTCAATGCAAGCGAACAGGCCTCACACCGAAAACACCAACAATCATGGATCACACTGGCAAAAACAGCCCTACGGAAGGGAGCACTATACACGGACCCAACCGTGACGCCAAACCAAGACCATGGGAATCCCGAACACCCCCATCGAACTGAGCTGTCCAGGCTCCGCGCGCATGCCTAATCAGCCTGGCTTCAGAAGGGTTGCACATGGCAAAAAGCGATCACGCTCTTACTCGACACCCTCGATCTTGTCCTCCACATCCATGTACAACTGCCGCAGCCGCTCCAGCTGCTCCGGCTTGGCGTCCCAGTACCCACGGCCGTTGGCCTCCAAGAACGTCGCGACAAGCTTGCGGAAGCTGTTTGGATTAGTGTTCATCAGACGCTGCGCCATCGCCTCGTCCTCAATGAACGTGGAGTTCGCCTCGTCGTAAACCCAGTTGTCCACCATGCCTGACGTCGCCGACCAGCCCATCGTGTTGGTCATGCGCTTCTGAATTTCGCGGACACCCTCATAGCCGGAGGCAAGCATACCTTCATACCACTTGGGGTTGAGCAGCTTAGTGCGCGCGTCGAGGCGGACAGTCTCGCCCAGCGTCCTGACTTGCGCATTCGCTGTGGTGGTGTCGGCAATATAAGCATTCGGAGTCCGGCCGTCGTTGCGCAAGGAAGCCACCAGCTTCGTGGGGTCGGAGTCGAAGTAGTGCGATACATCCGTGAGTGAGATTTCGCTAGAATCCAGGTTCTGGAATGTCACGTCGACGGTCTTCATAGCCACTTCGAAGACGTCGCGCTGCATCTCACCGCCAGCACCCGGCCTGGGGGGACGTGCGGCACATCCATTCAAGTTAGACCAGAACCTCATTGCAGCACTGCCTACTAAATGAGCCATGAAGAAACGCCTTACCGGTCCGAGTTGAAGGCATACGACTTGCGCTTCAGATACATCTCCTGCAGCTGGGACTCATCGCTCCAGCTGCTGTTCTCAACGGCCAGGTTGACGTTAGACGAGTAAGAACCCGACGAGTTCGAAAACACACGAGTGGCAGCATCGCGCAGGCTCTGCAGGCCCAACTCAGCAGCCTGTGGACAGTACCACAATTTCCAAAAGTGAGGAAATCATTGCGAAATAGGAAAAATAGGTGACGGCGCATTCATTCCGCCACACAAGAGCAGAACGCTCGCGAGCAAGTTGGACTCCTACCTGCTGCTTAGCATGCTTCCGAACGAAGTTCATCTCATCAGGCTCATCCTGCTCCGCAGCCAGCTTGATAGCGCGATCCAGGAGCAGCATTTGGTTTACGAACAAGTCGCGGAAGACACCCGAGCAGTTGACGACGACGTCAACGCGTGGGCGGCCCAGCTCCTCCAGCGGAATTACCTCCAGCTTGTTCACGCGACCAAGGGCATCCGGCACAGGCTTGACGCCAACCATCATCATTACCTGGGCGAGGGATTCGCCGTAAGTCTTGATGTTGTCCGTGCCCCAGAGGACCAGCGCAATTGTCTCAGGGTACTTGCCGCCGTTGTTGTCGCGCTCACGGTCGAGAAGGCGATCCACAACAAGCTTAGCGCTCTTCAAAGCGGCCTGGGTTGGGATCGACTGGGGGTCGAGAGCGTGGATATTCTTGCCCGTTGGAAGAACGTTAGGGTTGCGGATAGGATCGCCGCCTGGTCCTGGCTCCACGTACTGGCCATTGAGAGCCTCCACCAGCGCGCCGAGCTCATTGTCCTTGACAACCTGCCGTGGCAGTGGACGAAACGCATCAGCCACTGAACTCTCTAGTTAATCTGAATACATATCCATTACTCACGCCAACAGTGCACAGTTAACCTGCCTTCTCATGGATGCAATCAGGGGCAACGATCCCCTTTTGATAACGATCCCCTTTTGATAAATGCAACGATCCCCTTTTCATAAAGCTGTCCGAGAAGCACCAATTCATACCTGCGTCAAGCAGAACTCGAGGTAGTCGAATAAAGTGATGAGCTCCTGGCGGTCAGCCTTAGCGAATTCGCCGTTTTGCAGAGCGCGGACCCATGGGTCCACGTAGAAGCCCGTGAACTTAATGAGCTGCGTGACGAAGTTAGTGCCGATGCGACCGTTCAGACCCGTGCGGTCCTTCACAAACTCGCGCACGCAGGCACGGCAAGCCTCTGTAATGCGCTGCAGGCAGTCGACGTCTGCCAAAATACCCTTGTTGTTCCCTGAATAGACCTGAGAAGCATCAGGCGGCAGATTTTATGGTAAGAATTACTTATCAGCAAGCCTGGCAGTCAATGTGCCTTCCCATATGGTAAATTTCCGTCTAGAGTCCCGATAGGCGTTCGCCATGTCCAAGGGTTACAGAATCCACATCAGCCCTAGGCCACACACCCAAAGATTTGGGGCCAAGCTCCATGTATTCAAACTATAGCTGTGAACGCTCAAGATACAATTCACCTGCTCCATGTCGCGGCCGATTGCGCGCGCCAAGATGCCAGGCAGGCCCTTGATGGGGGGATTGTTATCCGGGCGGTCCAGCTCGGCAATGTTAACCAGAGTAGCAACTGCCTCCTCGGCCGTAGGCGGGCAGCCCACCACGTGCAGGCCGCATGGCAACAGGCGCGACTCGATCTCCATCAGCTTGCGGTACACGTTGCCCACGATCAGGTCGCGGTCTTCCATTGACAGATCTTTTGCTTCGCCCTCAGGCAGCTTGACATCCTGCACACGGAAACAAGTTGATCATTTGTCGTGTCCCTATGATTATGACTACAGCTCGAGACAGTTCGTTTGTTTTAAACTCCACTCCTCCGAAAACTGCAAGGGGCGACAACACATTAATCCTCTATCGACGGGACAATGCGCCCCGGAAACAACGCCGCCCACCAGCATCACGAAACGTTATCAATTTGGGTCAACTATTCCTCATGCCTCGGCTACTAACCTTGTCCAGGTTGCACTGGCGAGCCGTCTCAATGATAGTGGCACAGATTTGCTCTGCGCGGCCGCTCTCACGCATGCCCTGGTAGCTGCTAATCAGCTCCTTAAGCTCCTTGAGGCCCTTGTACAGACCAGCGTTCTCAGCAGGCGGGGTAAGGTAAGAAATAGTGTTCGCGTAAGAGCGGCGCTTGGCGATGGTAGCCTCCGACGGGTTGTTCGCAGCGTAGTAGTAGACGTTGGGGATGGTGCCAATTAGGGAATCAGGGTAGCAAACGCCTGACATGCCGACCTGCAAACCAGGAAACCCAAGGTAGCAACCCCGTCAGTGAGGCTGGCATTCCTGAAAGAACGAACTGGCGAAAGTGCCGATGAGCACTGCTGCAAGGATTACACTGCATCAGGTTTAACCCCGACGTGACAGTCGTACCTGCTTGCCGGGCATGAACTCAAGCGAGCCGTGAGTGCCAAAGTGCAGCACTGCATCGGCCTTGAAGATCTTCTCTAGGTAGGTGTAGTAGGCAGCGAAGCCGTGATGCGGCGAAGCGCTCTTTGAGAACAGCAGACGCATCGGGTCGCCCTCGTAGCCAAACGTCGGCTGTACACCAATGAAGACGTTGCCGTATTGGCGGCCGTAGATTAGCAGCTCCTGGCCATTTGTGTTCAGCGTACCTGCAAGGAATCATCAAATTCGTACAGGCACAGCTGAATCCAGGCTCTTTGATGCAACGATTGCTGGTCTTACCAGCCCCAGCCCCAGCGCCGGGAGGAGGTTAATGCGCGAGACTTGATGCGTGCCAGTTCCAACGTCAGTTACGAAGGTAGGCGACATCTCTAAACTTCCTCCAACGTACCCGGTGGCTTGCCCCAGTTCTCCTCGAGCGCCTCGGAGTAGTCGCAGAGCCGCTGGTACTCGTCGACCTTCATCTTGTACGCAATGTGAAGGTCAGTTGAGTTGAAGCGTGCTTCCTTCTGGGTCAGGACCGACTGAATGAGGTCCTCCTCCGACGGGGGCAGCTGACCCACATCGTAGCCTTCACGCTGAAGGTTCTTCAGCACACGGTAGATAGAGCCGAATACGTTCAAATACGCCGCCGTGCCCACATTGCCCTTGTCAGGCGGGAAGCTGAAGACCGTAACAGCCAGGCGCTTCTCCGCATTCCGCTTCTTGCGCAGACGCGCCCAATTCACAGCACGAGCACACAAAGAGGCAATCCGATCCGGCAATGAGTGCGACTTGCCCGTGTTGGAGTCGCGACCAGCAAACACAATAGGCTCAATAGCGCCGTCCAGCTCAGGAAGAGCAACCTGCATTCATGAACAAGCAAGACCTTCTTCACCCACATGTTGTACACCCAACTACTTTTTCAGGACGCCCGTCGGTGCACTTGCAAAACCGGCATACAGTAGACAGCATGTTGGAAGTGTATACTTCGTCAAAGACGCGGATCCCTCCAAACACACAACCTCAGTCTTTGCTACAAGCCGAATAGATGCAACCCATTGGCAGCCGCCATGCCCATCCGTACCTGCAGAGCCACCTGCACAGGGTGCACGCCGAGCTCGCTGTCAAGCCACTCCTCTGTGGTCTGGAAGACCAGCGGCAAGGAGACCAGATACGGGACATTGAGGGCCTTAAGAGCCTCAATGGCCTTAGGGGCATCTTGGCGAGCAGGGCCACCAACCAAAGCGAATCCCGTCAGCGACACCACCGTGTCCACGAAGGGACGGCCTGAGCCCAGCGGGTCGTAAAAGAACTTCTTCACCGGCGACGAGAAGTCCAAGCCACCTGCGAAAATAGACGTTGTGACACTTGAACGTTCTCCCTTGACCCGAAACAGACAGCCTATGTCCTCAAAACGAAACCCACAGGCACCACGGAGCGAATTTCGCGTAAAAGCGCACCTGCAAAGACCGGGATAACCTTAGAGCCCCTGCTCTCCAGTTCCGCTACAACACCACTGTAGTGACCCTCGTCACCCGTCACCAAATGCGAGCGCTGGAGCACCAGACCAATGACAGGCGCGTCCTTAGCGAAAGTCATGTCCTTGCGGGTGTCGTACCTGTAGGAAATATCGTACGGGTATGAACAATAACATTGAACCAGGTAGCGAACGGACATAGGACACAAATCGTAATGCCCTGGCAGATCAAAACCCTCCATGAACGGGGAATCGGACACAGGTTCGCTTGATTTAGTACATTACTTAATGTCAAGGACTATACCCTTACCAGTTCAGGTATTCTTTCAGGTCCTCGTACATCATCGGGGCCAGAGGATGCCAGACACCCACATCCGGGTACTGCTGCGGCTCTGCTACACTGAAGTCCACGCCCTTGAGAGCGGGCACATATGACGAGCAAACATTCAACAACAAGTTCTCCAGGTTGTCCGAGTTTCCACCCAGCCAATACTGCAGACTGTTTACAAAGTTGCGAGCGTCCTGGGCTTTATCCGAGGGAAGGTACTTGAGCACCTTGGGCAGAGTCCGAACCAGCTTCAGAAGACCCTCCTCAAAGTTGTCGTTGTTCTGCACGACAAGACAAATGTCTATCACTTCTTGCATTTCCTAGTTCCCAATGACCCAAACCCGATAGCCCCAAACACATGCATGCAAAAAAAATATAGAATCCAGACTGCGGCCGGCTACACGTGCACGAGGTTACCTTCCGGGCCGACTTGATGAACTCCGAAAACACGGACTTTGACTGTCCCAGCTGAGACATGGAGAAGGTGCCAAGCTTGTTCAGCTTCATAACAGCTGGCATGGACGGGAAGATCAGGCAAGCATCCAGCTGGTCGCGAAGGGGCTTAACAGCCTCCACAATCTGCGGATATGGGATGCACCGTTCACATCGTTACCAGACACTTCGTGTCCATGTCGTGAATATGCCATACTGCTTTTAAGAGCACGCGTGCTGGCATGCAAGATTGTTGCGCGTTGCAGGAACTTCTAGTTTAGGCAAGAATCCGTTTGTAATCATGCCCCCCAACCCGCCATAGCCAGCATCGAGTCCCTTGAGTACCCCTCCGCCCCATATCATGGCCCACGCCCTTCCTTCATTCCCGGCCAGCTTGCCTTTTCAGCCAGCTCCTCAATGAAAATGAGAGAGCCGATGAAAATATTCGCGGTAGCAACATCCTGCTTAAGCGCCTCAAAGTTCTTCGCGTCGCGGAGCTCCTCCAGCAGGTAACCAACCACCTCGAAACACACCTGTGTTAATGGCCATTAGCACATTCAGCGTACGGCCAACTGCATAACATCTGCCGCTGTCATCGTGCATCAGCAGCATACCTTGCTGTTCTTCGCGTTGATGTTCTTTACGGCCGCGGTAATTGCGGATTGATACTGGGCCTCCAGCACGACGTACACAACTTTTACCGTTACACGCCCATTCACGTTATCCGGGACGACACGGCGCAGCTCCGGGCTGGTGCTAGTGAACAACCCAGTGCCTGCGAACACGAAAGCCGGTCAGGTAGGAGGTCGATGCACGGATTGCTGCTCCATGATAACCTTGCTACAGCCCAGAGCTTCAAAATAATCCCATGAATCATCAACCAATGCTTCTCCAAAGGGATGTCGACTGACAGGCTTTACAAAAGCGGTCCCAACGCCGTAGATAGCTCACCTTCATCACGAAGGTCCAATGAAACAGGCTTATTGCCTGGCTTGTTCCCGCCTGTGAAGGTCGTCATCGGAGGCCGTGGCCCGGTAGCCACATTGCAAGCAACCTGGAAGCCCAACTATGCGAGGATCAGTATTGATCTTCCAATAAGCATAACGTCAATGTCATATAGATTGACATTTCGTACCTGGCGGGTGCTGGCCACACGGGGGCTGGGCACAGCCTGCATCGCATCGTCCGCCGACCATGTCAGACCATAACCTCTACCAAGCAGCATAATGGATGATCCAAAACTAGTCCTTACAGGCTTCGTGGTCAGGCCCGCCGCTGGATGCGCGGCGCGCCGGCCGAGAAGCGTCTGATGCTGCATATCACTCTTTCTTGAACCCCTCAGAACCCTCTCCACACAAAAATCCCTAAACGTGACAACTGTATGTAGAAGGGTTGCAAGGAGGACACCAAGACTAAAACTCCTGAAAGATCTGCGCCCTCTTTCGGAGCAAGTCGTACCGAAGACCGGGGATCCCATCCATTGTGTGGTAACCCGCAGCGCCACACCACCACAACGTCGCACGTAAATAGAGATCGTAACGGTTACAACCATGTATTCACTCTCTATTTACAGATAAATTCTAGGATTACAGAACAACAAGATATTGTCATTTACAGTCTTTTGCTCGAGGTCATGATCCAAGATGCCTATTTGCCATAACCTTACTAGCTTGGACTGCTAAGCGCCTACTGTGATACGCTTGGTTTCAGCCCTCGCGTGTGTTCACTGCTAGCTTTGAGCCTGTCTTTGCACGTGTTCAACGCTTCAGGTTTCACCGACATTTAACAGCGATCCTCCATAAATCATATACTCCTCTTGCTATCTAGGATTTGGGAAAATACTAGAATGAAACGCGCACGCGCTTCACCTGCAATAGTCAATTTGAATGCCACGCTGGGTGTAAAGCCAGAGGTTTAAAAGAACGTGCATTCTTGAAAGTCGCTGTTGATGCTTTAATAATGCACATTTCCAGTCACTGACACTATAGCGGCTGTCCTGTCTCCATTACCCCACCCACTCCCACATCCACCCACTCAACATTTATACCCCATAACCGTACTTCCCCGCAACCTCTCCGTGAGGATCTACAAGAAGCAACTATGCATGAGTGGCAACACACTATGGACACATATGCCAAAAGTCATAGCCGCTCCAACCTGGTGCCCTACTCAGACTCTTTTCTGAACGCCATCCGCATTAGCACGCGGCGATAAGCCTTGCATTGGTGCTCCTCAATGGCCGACCTCCCTAGTACTAGCCTCCGAAAGCCCTCACCGGCAGGTAGCTCAAAAATTATATAATCCTGCCCTGATGGTGGACCAGCTGCCTTCCCCGTGGAAGCAGCAGCAACAGTGGTGCCGCCAGCACAGCCGCCGCCGCGGTCGGAAATGGTATGCTCAGCAAATACTGCCTCGGCAGGAGGCATGTCCGCTGAGCACTGATGCGGCGCAGTCTGCAGCCGGATATGCAGGATGCATCCGGGCGGTAGAAGCAGCGGCAGTTCCTGCGGACGTTGGATGCGGACGCAAAATTGCTGCTTGCCCGTATTCCCGTGTGCCATGGCCGAGGAAGCAAGGAGTGTTGCCCCGTGCTTGTTGGGAGGTTTGCCAGCCAAGCTGCGAACAGGTTCCATCTATTCTAAGCCACGGGCAAGCGAGTGGACTGCCGGTTAATGGACAGAGTTCTTGGAAAAGAGACTTTTGACGGGTAGAACAGCGGCAACATCCAATAGGAAACAGTTCGACGCTCCGCTCTGTTGTCGCCAGTTCAGGAACAAGGAAGCCAAGCGGGGGAGAAAGATCTAAAGATGATGATCGTGGCGACGCGACTAGAGAGATATCCTGCCTTGCACAGTGGGTGGCAGCCGACAGCAGAAGCCGGACACAGGCAGCAGCCAGCTGGGCAATGCCTTAGGTGTCCTGCTGGTGCTGGGTGTGCTGCCCAGCACGCACCATAGCGTGAAGGCATCACGGTAGGCCCTGTGCCTGCCCCTGGCCGTTCGCCCTAGAACAACAAAATTCAAGGCGAGCTGTTATGCACCTCACCTAGCTGCAGCAACTACCATGGACCAAGTGCACACAGTCGCAGCAGGAAAGAGGAAAAAGCACGCACAGACCAGAACGCCATGTACAAACACCCCCGCCGGGTCGCGTTCCCATGGCCGTGAGGATCGCCTCCATCGTCTCGAACACCCATTATGCGTGGTGCTGCAGGCACACAGCAACCGGTGGTGTGCGGGTCTTGCACGCACCTGAGATCCATAATGCGTAAGATCGGATGCCCTAGGGACTACTAAAGCCGCGGCGTTTGTCCCTGCGACGGCGTTGGCTACAGCTGCCCCACCCTCCCCCGCCACCGCAGCAGCAGTTGTGCAACTCCAGGAGGCCTCGGATGCTGACGTCTCCGCGCTCCTAAGTCCCGGTAAAGGTGCCGCGGCTGCGGCCGCTGCCGCCACCGCCGTGGTCTCCACCAGGGGCAGCTCATGGGGGTGCGGCAGGGATGGCAGCGCGGGCAGCGGCGGCAGAGAGGCGCTCAGGCGCTCTTTCGATGCGGCCGCCGCCGCCGTAAGGGACACCAATGCGGATTCGACGCTCTGCCTCAGCCGCTCAGCAGCCGCCTCGGCTGCACGGCGGACATCTGCTGCAACATCGCCAGCGGCCGCAGCGGCAGGAGCATGTGGAGGAGGCGTGGCCTCCGATCCAGGTTCGGAACTTGAGTCGACAACGACGCTGGGCCGTTTGGTCGTCGCCACCTCCTGCAGCCACTCCTGTACGACTTCTAGCTGCCGCCGCATCGCTGCCTCTGCCTGGTCGCCCGCCGCCGCTACCCCCTTAGCCTTCCACTCATCAAGCGCTTGCACAGCGGCCTTGAACGCTGCACTGCCGAGCACTGCAGCGCTTAGCTGCTGCACCATGCCGGCTGCGGCGGCTGTGGTGGTGGCAGCCGCGGCGGCCGGCGGCAGCGCTGGCGCAGCTGTTGGCCCGACTGCTGTCGGCGTCAGAGCTTGTAGCTTGGTGGATAGGTTCTGGAGACACCCGCGAGCCGAGGCACAGCCGGAATCACATCACATAACAAACCTTTGTAAGGCTTTCGGTCCCCCAAAGCCCACGTGGCAGGCACCTCGGCAGATTGTGCACTTGTCTCTCCCACGGAGGGTTCCCGGATATCAGTTTTCGTTTTCGTCTCGGTGCCCTTACACCGCGGCATAAACACAATCCTAGGTGGATTCAGACTCAGCCAAGGCCTGATGCAGGAATAGCAGATGACTCATCAGATGCGTCTCCCAGCGCCCAACCGAGAACTGACAACCGACCAACCGACAATAGGTCAGCAGCAGCGAACGGGGAGTGGGGCACGCGAGAGCACCTGGCATGTGAGCTCTAGGCGCTCTGAGCCCTGTACGAGTCCCCGGCGCGTTCAATAAGCTGCGCTGCCCACAGTGCAGCTCAGCTCAGTTCAGTTCAGATAACACGAGCCTACCATAGCATGACACACCAGCACACCACGTGCCCTGTGGGCCGCCCTGACTGCCCCTCACCCTGACCAAAGTGTGGTCCATTACTGTCCGTTGGAGCTCGGCGTACCAGTCTACCTCCTGCACACGACCGTCCGAAATGGGAAATAAGCAAGCGTGTGCATGCTTTCTTGCGTGCATGGTTGTGCGTAAGTGCGGCGTACGGCATCGGCACCGGCAGGCCGGCGGTACACTCGTTCCCCAGCTCCTGCTCAGGCCATCTGCAAGGCCTCCCGTAAGGGGGCGATGGCTGACCGTTTGAAAGGACAGGGCTCTACTGTCACAGCCGTCCCATCGTCCAACCAATCACGCCACCAGCAGCTCCCCCCCTCCCTCCCTCCCCTCCAGGCCCGCAACCGCCTACCCGCAGCTCCTGCTGCAGCCTGGCCAGGCTCGCTGCATTGAACCTGTTTAGCGCGTTAACGGTCAGATGTGAAAGGAAAGAAATCGCACAGCAAGTCGCGTAGCGGCATAGCGCCATAAGGGGAGTTGGGACGCATGCATGCAGGATTGCATGCACGTCAAAAATGGAGCCCCAGCCTTCAGCCTTCACCCCTAGCCGTACCTTGACACAATGTCGTTATTAAGTACGACAGAAGTGACGTACGGCCTGCAGAGCTCGGCTAGCGGCGCCGACATGACCGCTGGAGGCGCAAATGCCACACAAGAGATCAGCCCGGGCGGGATGGCCGCTGTCCTGCCGCGACGAGTCGGGTGGGGCAGGGCGCGTAAGGACACCCCCGACATGTGGCAAGTACGCACTTGACGAGTACGTACCTAGCCCATCCCCACCTACACAGTCATCATTCCCCGCACCTGGCCGCCTCCACCAAACCCTCCCGCAGCATCACCGCCGCCAGTGCCGCCACTGCACCCCCCAGTGAGTGACCCACAAGCTGGAGACGGTAGGCCCCAGGGGGCCCCAGAGAGCGGAGCAGTGCTGAAAGGGAGGAAGCGAGCGGGCAGCAGGGGGCCCGCGAAAAGGGGAAAGAGCACGGAGTGGGTCAAGCGGGATTGGGCGGGCAGATTGGCAGGTGGGCAGGCAAGCAGCGGGGTTGGAAGGGTTGTGTTAGGGGGGAAGGAGGGGCCAGGGTACGCGGCCAGGAAGTCCGCGGTGTCAGTACGACATGTATCGTTGGATATTGGCATAATATCGTACAACCGTACACCGGGCAAACAAGATAGTGCGGTCGCGCAAACGCAACATGCCCCTCTTGTCGCTCTGACAACTGCTGATGACAAGCGTGTATTTCATTTGGTTGAAGGACTCTCTTCCCCCTTAACCCCCCTCAGTTCCCCCGCCAAGCCCGTACTGGTGTTCCAGTACCTCTCCAAACCTCCCCATCCCACCTCGCCACGTAAAACCCACCAGCCACTCTTGCCGCCTCCCTTTGAACGAGCCAGTGGGCTGCGTGCGTCATGCCCCAGTGCGCCGCACCCACCCCCAATGGATGTGCCGCCATGGCTAGGTCGGTAAGCAGGTCGGAGAACACCTGGGCACAGGGTAGCACGGGGGAAGTCAGACCCGGGCAATGTCCGCAGTGAACGGTTGTGTGTGTGTGTGTGTGTGTGTGTGCGTGTAGGCGAGGAGGCTTCGCGGCCATACCCGGCCGAGGTGGGTGGCCCACTCGCTCCCGCTCCGCCTCAAACGCCCTTTCGTGGACACGTAACGCACCTTCTCCTCCCATATAGCTGTAGGCCCGCACCTGTCGGCTTCGTTCAGTCCTGGCTTCATTCCTTGACTCCACCCCCTTCCCTGCGTGGCCCTCTTTTGACCATTATCCCCTCCCTTCTCCACGTATAACCCCCAACAGACCCTTATATAACATAAGGTAGCGCATCCGTACCAAAACATGGCTCTCTCCTTCCTTCTCCATCTCCGTCTCACCCGTCCGAAAACACCCTTCCTTCCCCACTTCTCTCCCTCTCCCTCGCGCGCCTCCTAACACTCCCCCCTCGCTCCTCACCCTGGTTCCCCGCACCCCCCACACCACTCTCCGGCCCCAGTGGTCCACCGCCACGTAGTACCCCGGCTGCAGACTGCCGCCCTCAGGCCGCCAGACGCGAACGTGTTGGGCCTGATGGGGATAAAGGAGGAAAGGGGGCGAGCGAGAGGAAATTTGAACAAGGAATTACACTTTACACGACGCGGGAGAAGTAACAGGAGGGGGAGGGGGGACAGAGGTAGAGATGAAGAGGAAGGGCGGGAGAAGGGCGGGAAGCATCTTGGAATCGGGCAACAAGCAGGGCCGAACATAGAGCATGGGGGCCACAGGGGCAGGGGGGCAGGGGAAAGGAGAATGGGACATTGGCCGGATGTGCGGCACAAGGCGCCCTAGCTCCTCAGAATACACTCAAGAGGTACAAGTGCGGTACATGTAAGGGCACAAGGAACCAGATATACCCAGGATATGGGTTTGCTGAGGTCAGTGCCCCTCCGCTGGCTGTCTTTGCTACCAACTTTATGCACAGCTTCTGGTGCTAGTGATGCTGGCGCTGGTGCTAATACTGCTCATGCTGCTCCTGTTGCGACTACTGCCGCTGCTAACACTGCCGCTACGTGCTGCCACGGGTTCACCTGTACTAATGCCACTATAGCCGTTGCTCACCCGCAAGCATGTGGTTGCCGCCAGTGCTGCGTCACTCCGCCGATAAGCACCCTGTGGACAGACAGACATATGGACACACAGACATATGGAGGTCGCCTCAGGAGCAGCGCAGGCACAATGGGAAGGCGACTCTGGCAGCGCTGGTGGTGACGGTGCCAAGCTCGTCCCAGGGCAATCACAGCCACAACCACCTAACAAATAGTTAATCACCACCAATACCAACCACGAATTACCAGTCCTAAGGTCCCAGCTTATCAACATTCACGCGACAACTTTCCACCAAGCAGCGTCTTGCAGCCAAGTACCTACAACCAACGCCAAGTACCTACAACCAACGCACAACGAGAGTGGAAAAGCTCACATGCGCCAGCTCAAGCGCATCCAGCAGTCGCTCCGCCTCGGCCTGAGTGGCCTCACCCGGGGGCAATGGCCGACCGGGGGGGTGGTCGGACAGCTGGCTCTCCTCATGATGTCGAGCAAGAGCTTGCAGACCGAACGTGACATGGCCCACGCCCAGACCTGTGCCACCCAGGGCACCCACACCGCGGATAAGGCCCGCAATGGCGCCCAGCACGGACAGCAGGCCGGGACTGTGGAGCTCCGAGGGGCCTGCGGCTGCGGCGGCAGCGGCATCCCGCCGGCGGCCTGCGTGTGGATGGTAGGGTGCGTAGTGTGTTCGACATCGGACATCGCTTACTACAGCAAAATGCATCAGGGCATTACAAATGCTGTGTGGATATGGATGTGAATTATGAGATGCCAGTTGTGGATGTCTATGGGGGGGTTAAATCCTCACCTAGCGCCTTGGCCATGCGCTGCCTCGGTGGCAAGGGTGATTGCGTCCCACATGTGGGCTGTTCCACGGAGCCGGGACTGACAACGTCACATTGGGTATGGGGATTGTCAGGTTCGCCGGCGCTGGCGCCACTGGCAACACTGCCGCCACGGACGCTGAGGCCGAACAGAAAGCCCGAGCTGGACATCAGGGGGCCGTATGAGTTCAGCTGGTTGGAGAGGAGGGTAGAAACTTGTCGCCATCGGCACAGTGTATCGCTGTACGGGAAAAGAGAGTTGAATGACGTGAGCAGCATGGCGCAACCGCGCAGCACCACGGCTGATGTGCTGCTAATAGATTAAGAAATTACTAGCATGAAAATTTTGTTAAGGAGAGCTTCTGCGCGAGGTGCAAATTTTGTTTTAATTTATAAGCGGCCGGCCATCTAGCAGCCCGCATAATGCTTGATGCATACTCCCTAATTATAAAATTAAATCAGGTCTGTGCTGAATGTAAGGCACAATGACCTTGAATCCTTTGTCCGCAATAAAATGACTGATAAAACCGTACTTGCTATTTACCCAGTAGGTTGTTGATAATGCAGTGCGAAATAGGTACGCGAGATTAACGCATACCTAATAACATGAATAGAGTATCTCTCCTGTCTACAGCTGGCGCCCTCTTTGTTGGTCTCCTGGCATTTGCTCTATCGCCCGCCTGCTTGAGGTGGCTTCATGGACTCTTGGCCGCCAGGTAAGCTATAGTTATAGACACACGACCTAAAAAGGGGGATAGGGGAGGTCTCCCTCACAACGGGCGGAAAGCATTGCAAGGAGGGACGGTCTAGGGGTCGTGATCATGAAGCTCGAGCACGCCTGATGCGTGGCTGCAGCCTGCATGCTACGTGTCCAGACCCTTTTCCATGCGCACTGTCAGGCAGCAGCTACAGAGGTGGTTTCTTGCCGTTCTCATTTACTCCTGCTGCGTGGTCGCCTGGGATTACTTTCCCATATCTTCCCCCGTACGGTGTCCCCAAGTAGGACCCCGCCCTTGCCCAAGGATGCAATCGCCGACGTCGCCATAGTCTTGGGCTATGCGCTTTGCAGGTGGGTGTTGGAATTTGGCTTACAAAGGGCTGCATCTTGTGGCAGGAACGGTAGGGAGGATAAGAATTGAGCCAGGTTGGGTTGATGCGGCTGTGGTTGGTTGGCGCGGCCCGGTCTTGGGCGGGTTTAGACTTTTCCCCGCTTGACAGTGGGCGCACGAAAGCTTGGCGGCTGCAGTAAGGAGGGCGTTGGAGAGTCTCCCCTGATATTCCTAATTGATTTGTGGTGTGTTCGCACGGCCATGACTCAGTCGCCGCACGCCATACACCGTACAGGAACGGCAGCCTGACGGAGCCGCTCAAGGGCAGAGTTCAAGCGGGCGTGGATGCATTCCTTCAGGTTAGGCAGCTCGCGCGTTAACTGTCATGCTTTCAGTAGCAATGCCCATAGGGCGCAACAGATCCTGCCTTTGACATGGCAGCCCATGTAAACTTTCAATCCGAGTGGCATTGTTCGTTGCACTGGGCGGGTGAAGCGGAGGGCTATGAAGGCCGATGTCCGGGAGGATGGATGCGGCCATATGGTCCCCATCAGGCAAGTTGGCGCCCAGTTTAGTGACCATGTCTGTGGCCGGTCGGCGGCCAGGTTTGTCGCGTGCAAATCCACGTCAGTATGTTTGCCAGTTGTGTGTTTTGAGGAATGGCCACTTTACTTCGAAACCCATTACTGTATGAATGCACCTGCGCTTTGCGATCGCCGCCGGCGCTGCTTGCTCGCTTGTACCCAGGCATGGATGGAGCTACCGAGAAACGTGATACACACCCTTTCTCTGCTCTTCCCGCCGGGCTGTATCCCCCCTTTTTTCCTCATTTCCATTCCGGGATCCCCCTCCTTTTCCTTTTGCTTTCCCTCTCCGTCTCCTTCTTCATACTACCCGGCTGGACATGGCGGTGGATCCACCTGCGACACCGGAGCGTGTTAGGGCCGTGCACGTCACCTGCTTTTCAGCGGCTCGCACCCCGGCGGTGTGGTGGTCCGCCGTACAGAGGCCAACGTCATGCGCGAGTACGCAGAGCAGCTGATGCCCGCCGGCGAGGCGGCCGGGTGGGCCGAGCGGTGCGAAGGGGGGCTTTCCATGATCGTGCGAACTGACAAGCATTCCTTTTGCACTCGCATGCGAAGCTAACTGACACCGCAAGGGTGCGCAGCAGCCCTCTGAGCGCTTGCTCCCAGCTTTTCCTTGCACAACGCGCCCAATGAGTGCCGGGTTGCACGGCAGGCGGGACACCCTCACGGCGTCAGTTGCATGGTGGCGTAACTCCTAACATACGGTGGGCCGCTGTCCCGCTGTGGGTCATGTTATGACGGTGCAGGTGGTTGGAGGAGGATGCCTCGACGTCCACGTACGAGAATGCGCTCTTCAGTCTGGCGATCTGCAAGGAGAAAGGGTGAGCGTTATCTTCTGGCTCGCCAAGCCGGCTATCTCCGGAGGTCCAGAAGCTCCGGGTTGCGCGGGTATGGAATACGGGGTCGTGCATGTGTGAAGAAGTAACAGTGCAGTGTGCCGTACGGAGATCAGGAACCGCGCATGTGGGTTCACCACAAGATGTATCCTCAGGGCTAAGGGTATTCAATCCGTGCCTGACCCTTCGTTAGTCGGACACTGCCAGGCTGCAAGCCCACCTAGCTCCCTCTATGCTCTCTTACGTCCCGCCCTTGTGGCGTCGCTGACCACATAACCATATATACGCACTGCTGTACGAACCCCGCATGCGCATCCAGGTGGAAAACTCTGTTGATAGTGACAAGTCCGTTCCACCAGCTGCGTTCAGAGCTGGTGTTTCGGAGGCTGGTTTCGGAGGCGACGAAGGCAGCTGCTGGGTTAGCGGGACAGGAAGCGGCATCAGCAGGAGGAGCGGGGTTGGCGCGAAAGGACGAGCACCTAGCAATGGAGGTACGACTTGCTGTGGGCCTGTGGCACGTGGGCAGCATTGCAGCCTGTTATTGACCTGGCATTCGGGATCAGACTCGCGTCTTGGTGTGAGAGCTCCAATGCACTTACCGAGTCATCCCTGAGCGTCGTGTAGAGCATTCAGCATCAGTAGGTGCAAGAGCGCCCACCCTTACACCTGGCCCATCTCACCATCTGCACCACAGCATTTTTGACTGCGTGCCTCTTGAGTATATATAACTGCCTATCTGTAAGCTGTCCTAAGGTACCGCGATGGCTCATGCCAGGTGTTTATGGCGCGTGCGGCCATGGTCCCTCACGCCGGCTACTTCTCACCGCTGGCCAACCGCCTAGTGGACTTGTGGGACTGGATCAGGGAGCTCCTGGCGCTCGTGTACTACTACACGAAAGGCCGGCTGTAACATGCCCCGCCTGTCTTCTGTGACCAGTATTCCAGTACGATAGTACAACAATACATCTTTTTCAGGGCCTGGTAGAGCGTTTTTCCAGGGTACGAGGTGCTGCTAACGGTGCTGGTGGGTGCATAGTCTGCGGGGCAACTGTGTTTACTGGCCTGCGCTGACCCGGTGGCGTGCGGTCTGCCCGTGGCCGTGGGATCTGGCTCAGGGGCGCCTCGCTCGGATGTTTGTTGAAGAGTATCGGTGTGGACGAGGACCCTAGGCGGAGGGGATGCTGAGGCGATTATGCTGTGGAAAGCTCCGGATTGCTGTGTCCAGTGCCGCGATGCGCCATGGGACGGTGGAGGCAGGCTGAGATACGTATTGCGCATCCGGATGTGGTGGCGAAGGGCAGGGGATGCAATGGCTGGGGACCTTGGGAGTGGGTGATGAAGCAGAGGGCTAATGATATGAGTTTGAGGGATAGGCGCCATGCGGCCCAACTCTATGGAACTGCAGGGCGCCCGGACAATGCCTGGGGCTGACAGCGTTCGATGGCTGTTCCTTGCAGTGGAGGATGACCGGATGCTGCATGATGGCCACCGGGGAGGATTCCCAACGAGCTATGGTCAGATGGGGTCTCCGTTGGGTCCCGGTGGGCCTTTGAGAGCACGTGGTTGCTTGGCTGACGGTTACATGTTATACATCGAACGTAGCAAATCCTCAGGAAAGTCCGGAAAATAAACATTGGATTGTCCAAGTCGCGTATCGGATGCGCAGTGGCAGCGAAGCGATTTTCTCTGGCAGGCCATAGGAATTACGGAACAGCGCAACGGGTTCGCTGTGCGGAGCAACGGATTCGCGGACCAGCGCAACGGATATCGGATAACGGTTTGGCTTTTATGAAATTGGCTGTTATGCATGCCGCTGCAAGCCTTGTGACAAGCTGCTGAGGCAGTTGCTCCACTGTAAGTGCCTTTATGAGATCATTCGGATTATATCCTTGCTTGTCACCAGTCTGTTACCCTTTAACAAACCAGTCGGTATCTGGTCATTTCGGTACCTGGCCGGTAGGATAACCGACTTAATAACGAGCTAACGACCCAGTAACTGGTGGGCAGACATCGGCAAAAGGAGTCTCGGGAACGGTTCCATGTCTGCATCATTGACTGCCGGCTCTGGCTTTCGGGCGGCCCATCGGGGCGCAGAGGAGCTTTCGTATGGGATGGTAGGCGGATGGTTCTATTTCTGCAAGCGGTCGGCTTCGTGAATTCTATTTTTGTTTTCGGGAGTTTCGGTACGACCCGAAGTTTCCGAAGCGTTTGCCGATGTCAGCTGGGGGATCACCGACCGATAAAGTTACCGGTCGGTTAGGTAACCGACCAGTAAGATTACCGGTCGGTTAGGTAACCGACCAGTAAGATTACCGGTCGGTTAGGTAACCGACCAGTAAGGTTACCGGTACGGTTATCGGGCCGTTGTCTCAAAATGTCGGTTACCTTACCAAAGCGACCGGTTGGATTATACCTAACCGGTCGGTTACCGGTTACCCTTTTATGCCATAGGGGTTGTGGTGCGCGTGCACGCTGCGGCGCACGATGCTTCTGCTCATGTGATTGCTGTGCGGCCGCGCGGTTTCCTCGCTCTTTCCTTGGACTTCCTTGAAATAGCTATGGATCAGCTCCGCCACACTCCGCAACTCCAGCCCATCCATGCCAACTGCTCCAGCACTTCCGTCCTTGCCTTCTGCTCCGTTTCACGCACATCTCATACATGTCCTATCCTCCAGTTCGACTGGCAATGGGCTGGGTTCGCGCACTACCAGGAGGCTATAGGTGCTCAGCCCTTCTTGTTGAGATGGAGGCGGCACGCAATGCACCGTCCAAGGATTTGCATTGGCGCCTAGAAAGTGTATACACCAGATTCACACATCACTCCAACGTCGCCGGCCGTCACACTCGGCCCTCGCAGCTATCCTTAATAATGAGCGTGTAGTTCAAACGCGACACCGGTCCTCCGCTTGCAACCCAGTGCCGTAAAGTCTCCCTTGCGGAGTACTGCCGGGCGACTGGCTGGACCGGGGCCGAGCCCTTTTCGGCTTCGAAGAAGCTGAGTACCCTAATTCCCATGTGTGATCTCTTGGCATACGTTGTGCTCCGGCACTCTTCCATATGATGCAATTCACAAATGCCGTACGACTCGTAAAGGTCCCTCGTTCTGTCTTAAGGCGGGTTGCCATACCAAAGCGATAGCACTTGATGGGGTTGCCTTGGTTAAAGCCCGCAGGCCCTGGACGTGCTTAGGAATGTGAGCTTTGTGGATTGGACATTGATGCTTAGCCCTACGGTTTGAGATTACACATCTGTGCCAACGGTTTGCAAAACCATTATCAACGGGACAAAAGCGACCAAGGGATCGGTGCCTTCAAGTAAAAAGCTGAAGAATAAGATGGTGTTGTTTCGTGACGGGTATTCCTCAACAGCGACTTAGAATGCCACCAATACACAAGCAGTCGTTGGCGTCGACATACGATAAATCTGCTATTGAATTTGTGTCGACATTGTGGCTGGTGGAGCCGGAGGGTTCGCATAAATCCTTTGGTACGGTGCACGTGCCGAACGAGCAATGGTTTCTCACTTATGCTCCATGGGCAATAGTATCTAGTATAATTAGTATTATTTTAGTGCCTTGGATCTGTCTGGCTGCTGCTTTAATGGTTAGCTGACGTCTCTCAGGCACCTTCAATGCCTTTTGGTTCTCAATCCTTGCTCAACGTCTAGCCAACCTTGTCAGGTCCTGCACATGTTTCCTGGAGTAATTCTGCACAAGGAATAACTTAAAACCATAAAAGGTATTTGATAAATAGTTAAGCATGTGTTGGAAGGCATATCACTCCTTTTTGCCATGTTTCCTGACCGCCTACTGCGTTTTCATATGATTTCACCAATTGGCGTTGCTTGTCCTTTGATGATGGAAGTATCCAGGTACATCGGTGAAAGTGGATGGTAGTAACCCGTCTGTTGTTCCTTTGGCGGAACCACATGGTTTTGTAATCCTGAAACAAATACAGATGCTCAAATTGAAAAGAGGGCCTTCCTCGTTGTAGATTTTGTCGCTACCGGTCACATGCTCGACCACCCACTTTGGGGGCACCGCGAAAATGAAGACAAACTATCTTCGGCTACCTTGACATAAGACAGCTGCTACTGCCCTTAATCGCGAACTTGCAGGCACTACGTGTTTTTGGAATATCAGTTGGGTGTTCGCCTTATCCCCACCTCATCCTACGAGTTTCGGCAAGCTATGGATCAAAATCCCCCGCCCAACGTTCACAGGCACTCAGCTGATGCGTTCCATGTGCATCAATCGAGCGGTTCACTGGCTGCGTGCAGGTCGTCAGCCGGCTGGGAAGCAGGTCGATGCTCCAGGCCTATGGGCCAGCAGCACCAGGGCTGCCGAGCGTCCTGTCTACCGACGCACAGTCGCTTCAACGGGTCGTGAATACGCCGTCTGCTGCTATCACAGATGAAGGCGCAGGGGCTGGGCGGAGCTGCTGTAAAAGTAGCAATAGCCACATCAGGGACAACGGCGAAACAGCACCGCTGTCGCAACCACGGTCCTTCCCAGCTGAGTCCTTTGCTTTTGATGCTGCGAGCGCCTCCCGGTCACCCCATCAGGACAGCTGCAGAGCAGCAGGGCAGCCTCAGGGTCCTCCGGTTGGGAATAGAGCAGGCGGTCTTGGCGGCAAGTGCCTAGGCTTCTGGCTGTACCGGTACCTGCGCTGCTGGCTGTGTGCTTGCATGTGCCTACGGTGCGATGGCGATGGCAAACAGGCGTGCAGCAGTGAACGCAATCGCAGTAGGGGCAAGCGGATGGCTGCGAAGGGGGAGCAGCTGCTGTGTCGACCGCACGCCTCCGCTGTCACCAGGTCGCCTGTCAGTTCACAAGGCGGTCCCTCTCGCAAGCCCAGCCAGTCAGCAGCCGGCCCGCTGCCGTCCCCCATAACAGGTCTGCGTCTCCTTGTGGCACATAAACATAGCTTTATGCCCATGTTATCCTGTATGGGACTTATCGATGCTTAGGATGCAACGCTTTGCGCTCATGCTCATGCTTTATCTCGGGTTTTGAAGTTGGGAGGCTATTGGAGTAGAGCAGATTGGTGTGTTAATGCAGAGCCGGGCTTGAGAGTTGTGCGCGTCTTAGGCTGGCAGTTCTGCTGCTGACTCTTTCGCGTTTGCGGACTTAAAAGTGACGGTTCGTTAAAAGTGACGTCATCGTCGCCGTTCCCCCCACTGCATGTGGCGCCGCTTTTGTGTCAGCAGGGGCGGTGGGAGGTGCCTACAGCAGCGGCGGCAGTGGCGATAGCCGCGTAGGCCCGTTGCTTTCCCCTCGTCTGCACCTACTGTCAGGTCCCGGCTCCCTGGAAACACCAAAGGATCCGTCCGCCAGTCCGAGAGCCTCCTGCGGCTGTGCCCTAGTGCCTCCGCTCGCACCTCCACCCTCTCATGGGGCAACCTCCGTCCGAGCAGCAGCCCTGCCGCCTCGCCACAGCACTGGCAACAGCGCTCTCAATATCAGCAGCGGCTCCACTCCGCCGGCCCTTATCTTTCCCAGTTCGCTGCTTGCTGTCGCTGGTACGTCCAATTCAGGCGGCGGCGCCGCAGCGGCGGGGGGCACGGGGGCGGCGGCGGGCAGCTGCGCTTCATCCGTCGCGTCTCACACCAGCGGTGTGACGACGACCTCCCGGCCATCGCGATGGGGCCTACTGGCCGGAATCCTCTCCGCTGGCTTGCACTCTTTCTCTCAGCTGGCGGGCGTAGTGGAGCCGGAGACCGGCAACCTGACTTTGGAAGCCGTCCATGACCTAACCCGGCGCGCTAGCCGGTTAGACGTCGTGCGCGCCGCAGGGCAGGTCATCGACCTGAGCCTGGTGGGGTCGGGCTCCATGGGTCTAGTGTACCGTGGCCGCTTGGCCGCCGACTGCGGCGACCGGGCCCGCGGCGGCAGTAGCGGTGGCGGCACGGTTTGCGTGAAATACCTGGTGGCGCGTGGTGCCGATGGCATGGCGGCGCCGGCAACGGAAGGGCTGCTGAGCCGCGCGCTGGTGCACCCCAATATTGTACGAACCTTCAGCTGGCACGTCACTCGCGTGACGTCGGATAACTTTTTGGACCTTCCAGAGGCGCTTGTCGCCATGGCGGCACTTGAGCAGCGGAGGCACGCCAAGCGCAGCCGGCGACGGGGGAATTTCGCCGCAGGCAAGGGCCGACGAACTGGTGGCGGCGGCGACTGCACCAGCTCCAGCAGCGGGCTACACCCTTTATCGCTGCCTACCACTTTGGCAGCCGCCGCCCGTGCGACACCATCGGCATCCACGACACCGCTACCTGCCGGGGCCAGTCGCCTCATAGGCAGTGGAGGCGTTGAGGGGGGTGGTGACAATGGAGTGGGATGCAGTGGCGGTGCCTGCAGGGTTTCTGTGGTGGGGTCTTGCAGGCACGGCTCGAGGCGGAAGGCCTCGTGCTCGAGAGCGGCCTCCGCAACGTTTGCTGCCCATGTGTTGGAGCTGGTGCGCTCTTCGGCTGGCGGTGCTGATGTAGGGCGCGCGGCGTCAGCGCGCAGTCATGGATGTAGCCCCCATATGCGGATGGTCTCTAGTCGGCATCAGTCGTTCACCGGGGGTACTGCAGTCGCGATGTTCCTGAGGGCTTCTGCGGCCTCCCGCGGCGGTCGCTTTGGCACCGTCTCTGCGCTCCCGGCCCTGCCGATACCGCTGCTGCCGGCGCAGCCGCCCCAGCGATACCAACCGCTGGAGCGGAGGTCGGACTTTGATGATACCTGGTCTGTGCCACGGGCGGATTTCTACCGTACAAGTGATCTCACCACATGCAGCATCGTGCAGCAGGGGGCAGTCTGTGACGCCAATGCCGCAGCAGCTGCAGCAACAGCGGGCATGGCGGGACCCAGTGCCCGGCGCAGCGGCACCATTGCGTCGTTCTTCAGTCGTGACAGCACCAGCAGTACGTGGTTCTTGGCCAGCCCCAACCCAAGCAACCACGCGGCGATCCCTGGGAGCTCGCTCCACCTAACAAACCGCAGTACGACGTATGGGGTGCTTGTCCCTGCCGTCAGCGGTGGCGGCGCCGGTGCAACTGGCGACAACAGCCTCCTCCTAGGGACGACCCCCATCGCCGGGACGCCACCTGCGACACGTGTCCTTCAGCAAAGCAGCGGTCAGATGCTCTGGGCTTGCAGCGCGGGTGCGAGTAGCACCACGGCAGGAGCGATAGCCGCCGCGTTGCAGCCCAGCGCACCCGTTGCGATTTGCGGTGGCGGCGGCTGTGGTGGCGGCACCTCTGGCGGTCGCGGCCGCGGAATGCTGGTCCGCGTCGGCAGCCGCCTGCAATTTGCCACCACTCCCAATATGCTGCAGCCGTCCATCCCAGAAGATTTCCGGGAAATGAGTGTGGCGGAGGACTTGATGCCGCCAAGGCATACCGTACCCATGCCGGACCCGCGCGGCGACGCCGGGCTGCAGCTCATGATGGGGAGCCACTTAGGAGGCGACGAAAAGCAGTCAAGATACGTTGAGATACCGTCCATCAACGCAGGCGCCGGGAAGCAGCTGTGCGTGGCCACCGCCACGGCCAAAGGTCCCGCCGCCGCCGGGCCTTCATTCGGAAGCAGTACCGCAACCGGCGGCTCTGGCGGCGGAGGAAATACCGGCGAGAGCAGCTGCGTTGAGGGGGAGCCCGTTCTGAGAGCTTGCTTCATGGCGCAGATGGACGCCCCGAATGTGCGCATGCTGCCGCAACAACCTGACCGCCGCCACCGAGAGGTGGAGGGTGGCAGTTCAGATCACCCGCGTGTGGGCCTCTTGACGGTGGCCTTGGCCGCGACCAGTACTCAGGGCCAGAGCTGGAACCACAGCCGGAGCGGGACATCATCCAGCGGCATCGCCATCGGCACCGTCGGCCGACCACTGGCGGCGCCGCACACCCAGGCGGGGTCCGCCGACAGCGACTTACGCCAGCCCCGCGGCGGCGGCGGGGGCGGCGGTACCAGCCAGAGCCGTACCGTCAGCACTGTGCTGTCGCCCAGCATGAATGCAACTAGTGCTACCTCCTCCGCTAAGCACCTGAGCAGCACGGTCAATCTCCCAAACCTGCCGTACGTGCTGTCTCCCGGAGATCGCGGTCGCGCCGCTGCCGTCGACCTCACGCCGTCGGTCAACGGCTCTGAAGCGGCTGCCGCCGCCAGCAGCTCAATGCACGATGGTGCGCCTCATATGGGCAGTAATAGTGATGCCGCCGGGTCAGCGCCGGCTGCGGTAGCGGCGGAGGGAGAGGGCGAAGCGGCACGACAGGAGACGCTCGAGCGGGGCTGGCGGACGCTGCAGCAGATCATGCAGCGGCTTAATGCGAAGCCTGGTGACTATTTGACCCGCATTGTCATGGAGGACGCGGACCAGGGATCTCTGCTGATTGCAATGCGGAGTGGTGGGTGCTCTCGGGAAAGCTACTCCTCAGGCTGCGTAGGGACAGGAATTGCGCAGGGCATGCCTGACACAGACTGAAATATGCGTGTGATGTGCACCTTGAGTTGCGTTGCCCTTCAAAGCTGTGTACGCGGGTGGTTAAGGCAAGTCATGTCAAGGCTGGCGGAACGCGTAGCGCAGACTGCGTGCAGTAATTGTTACTGTTGTAAGGTTTTGGGGCGAAGTCCAATAGGCTTTGCTACTGCGGAGCCCGCGAGACCGGGGGCTCACGGGCGACAGGCGCCCCCTGCGAGCCTGTGGAGCCGACCATAACGCACGCGTCCCCGCGTCGTGGCTCTTTTCGCCTCCAGCGTGGTATCGTGTCACGAGCTGCCACGAGCCGAGCTCGTTGTTGCATTTAAATTTCCTGCTCCGCCGCGGTGGTGCGCCCCGACACGTGTCATCACGTGACGTACCTGCAGGTCGCTTCGGTGTCGACAACGAGCGGCTGCGTGTGCTGCTGCTGACTGCGCTGGACATTGCGTGCGGCATGGCCTTCCTTCACAAGCACAACGTCATCCACGGCGACCTCAAGCCCTCGAACGTGCTGCTGTGTAGCGACCCTGCCGACCTACGGGGCTTCATCGCCAAGGCAAGCTAGGAAGGGCAGGGGTTAGGAAGGAAGAAGGAAAGAAGGGAAGAAAGGACACTTGGACGGCCAAATGTGACCCACACGCAAGACCTAATAGTGAGAGATGCGCCGCTGTCAGCCTTCGTGCCCTTGTCCGCACTAGCTACTGCTGCACCAGCGCCGCATGTGACCCGCCCGCGCTGCCCGCTCTGCAGTCGTGCTTTCTTACCTGCTGTTTGCCCGCTTGCCCCCACCGGGGTGTGGGCGTCTAAGGGGTGACAGCAATCCTCGCCCCTGCTCCTCACCTGCCACCGACTAGAGCGCTGTGAGCATCGCGATATGCGGCTGCTGCACCTCGTCCCCCGCCTCCACAGGTCTCGGACTTTGGCCTCTCGCGCATCATCAGTCGCAACCATGAGTCTGTCCAGAATCGAGATATGTTTCCGGCCGGAACGGTAGGGCACGGGTTGGGTTCAGGGTTACGGCCGCAGTACGGCACTGGGACCCACATTTCCAGTTGATGTTTCCCGCGTGCACGCCATGTGACATGACGCTGCCTTTGGTTGCCCCACGTATGCAGCCCCTCTTGGGAACCGCTCGTCGCATGCCTTCCATGCTGCTACGCACGACCACCAGGCGCTGGTGTAGCTTTAGAGCATTTCACCCGCCGGCCTCCCGCCCGCCCGCCGGCCGCCCTTTCACTCCCTTTTGCCTGGAATTCCTGTTCATCTCCAACATCCGATCCAGCTGGTTCGTGTAACCCCCGCCCCTCCCACCTTCCTTCCTGCCTGGCACCTCCCAGGTTCGCTACCTAGCTCCCGAGGCGGTGAGCGGCGCCAGCTTCAAGGCCTCTGATGTATGGAGCTTCGCAGTGGTGCTGTGGCAGCTGGTCACTGGGGAGCAGGCGCCCTGGCCCGGGCTGAGGAGCATGCAGGTCATCATGGGGGTAATGCAGGTGCGTATTACGGGTGCAGGCGTGTGGTTGCGTGGTTGAGAGTGAGAGGCTGAGCAGCGAGAAGAGATACTTGTGTCCCTGGAAACGAGAGATCTTGGGCGATCCTAACGTGATGGGCCGAAGTATTGGGTCCGAAACCAGCCAGGTCCATGTTGTGTCAAGTAGCAATTATGGCCTGGCGATGCTGACACAGCTGAGACACCCGCCGGACAGGCGTGCTGCCTGCTCACGTATGACAATTCTGTACGACTACTGCCGTGCAGGACGAGTTGCGCCTACGGGTGCCGCCCTCAGTATACCCGCCGCTCGCACACCTGATCGAGTCCTGCCTGGCTCATGACCACAAGAAGCGCCCGACATTTAACGACATCGTCGCAAAGCTGCAGGTACTCTCATGTTGCCAATCTTGTCCTCGGGTTGTTTGTGGCTATGGTATGGCTGGTACGCACAGCCTGCACACGCCGCGCATGTGCGCACCGTGCTTAATCAGGTCCCGCCAGGGTGGCCATGTTGTTAGCTTGCCCTGACCCGGGCGCTACCGGCCTGAGACTGCGAGTTTGTTGGGGTTGAGGGCCGGCTGTTACCCTCCACCTCGCCCGCCGCATTCACCCGCCACCTTCACCGGCCGCCAGCCTTCACCCCTCTCTGCCCAACAGGCAATGCTGCGCGATATCTCACGTTGCTGCTCCGAGCCGCAGCTCCACAGCCACTCGGAGGCCACGTGTGCCTTGGGCGGCCCTGCGTCTGATGCCGTCCTTGGTGCCGTCGCCGCGGCTGCTCTGGAGCCTGCACCACTGCCTCGGGCGCTGTTGCCACCGCTGCCGCCGCCACCACCGCTGCAATCGAGTGATGCGGCTGCAGCCATCGAGCCTCCCCGGCAGCTTGGGGACAGGCCCGCGGAGCTCTTCTTGGGAGCGGCATGCTCCCAGGTGGCATGCGAGGCCCTTGCCTTTGGCGGCCCTGTCGCCGTGCCGGCCGCCGCTGCCTATCCAGCCATCGCCGCCGCCGCAAAGGGCCTCCCACCTTTCGTGTCAGACGTAGCAGTGGCCACTATGCTACAACCCGGCATTGCACCCACAGCTGAGGTCGCGGCCACCGCTGCAGGGGCGGCAGCGGCGGCAGCTGTAGCGGCGGCTTCGGGCCTCCCAGCTGCCGCCGCCGCCGCTCCCCTACTAAGCCAGTTGCACACTCGCAGCAGTGAAGCAACAGACGTCGACGAGACTCAACTGCACATCATTGGACCTGGAGAATCCGAATCTGGATCCAGATCTGGGTCTGCTTCCGAATCGAGATCCCGCTCGCCGGTTTCGTCCGCAGTACCCTCGGAGGAGCGCGAGCGGCGCCCGCAGCCCCTGGCCGTAACCGACCAAAGGTCGGGGAATCGCGTCGATATTGGAGCTGGCGGCGTTGGAGTTGGCAGCGGCGGTGGCGGTGGCGGTCTGCCCACACCGCAAGGTAGCCTGGCTGCTACCTCCATCGCCATCACCGCCGCCGCTTCTTCCAACGCACTGACCCAGATGTCCTGCTCCTGGGCGCACACCATCACCACAAATACTAACACCACAACTACCCTGGCAACCGCTATGCTGGATCGTGACACACGGAGCAGCGCTGCCTGCGCTTGGCCCAGCGGCGTCTTACACCTGGCCACTAGCGCCAACGCCCACACCAGTACACTGGCAGGGTTCGGAACTTCAGCTGGTCTCAACCAGCTCAGTCGCAACATGGTGGGCTCGAGCACAGGCGGCAGCACGGGCACTGCAGCAATGGCCCAAGCCCTGGAGCGGCAGTGCAGCATTCAGGTGAGGTGAGGGGAGGAGAGGGGGAGCAAGGATTGGCTTGGGCTTTGTATTGGGTTAGGTTGAGGACTCGTACTACGAGGCTTCTCGTTGTGGGTGGTGCGAGCTCAGGCTGGGCTGCAGGGGTTAATATCCCGAAGGTAGACTTAGAAGCCGCGTAGTGCGGTGGTCGTGGGGGCAATGAGGGGTTCTGTTCTGAGAGTGAAACCAGCAAGGACAGACAAGGCCTTGCAGGAAGGCACGCTTCCGAGAGCAGCGAGGAACTCCTCCCGATGCAGCGCGGTGCATGACATGTTTGGAACCTCTATCGCCTCTTTGTATAGGATTTGCACGGCAAGCCACGTACAGCCTTTCTGGGCGCGGTACTGCCGGATGATGTGTGCGGCGGCGGTCGTGTTATGGGCCCCGGCGCAAGCCAGCTGACCGCGAGCATGGCCACGTACGCCGCGCTCGCCGCCACCGGCAATGGCGTCAGTGTTTGTGGCGGCGCAAACGTGAACGGCGCTTTCGGTGGGGGTTTCAACAGCCCGCGAATCGGCGGTGGTTTTGCCACCTACCATGGCTCCGCTGCCGCCGCTGCCACCACGGATGGGCCCAACCCGCTTTTCCTGCCACCAGTGCATGAGGAGCAGCCGTCAAGCGGCTTACATACCGCATTGACCCATGGGTCAGGCCTATCAAGCGGCTATACGCAGCTGAGTGCCGGCGGCCCCGCCGCCAGTATCGCAATAACTGGGAGTGACCGCCGTACCGCGGCGACTACGTCTTCGGAATCAGTTTCTGCCGGGTACGGCGGACCCGCGGAGGGCTCCCTGCCGCGCATGTTGCAGGCGGGCCTTATCGTGCTGGGTGTGCAGGACTCGGCGCCGACGAGGATCGCTGCCGGACATGTTCCTGGCAGTGTCCGAGGCACCGGCTCGACCCCGTCGACGGGCCAGAGAGAGGATCTGCAACTCTAACTCAGATACAATTGTAGCAGCAGTTGCAGCAAAAGTGCACCGCGGCCTTTTTGACTGCTGCCGTTCGGGGCTGTTCGCTGAGGAATTCATCCGGCTAAATGGCCGCATCGGGAGGGATATACGGATGATGGGAGGGCGCCCATCGCGCCCAGACGCTCTCCCCCTGGCATTTGATGATGCGGCTGCGGATGTGTGCGGTGCCAGCAGCACTAAGAAACGCTGTCTCATGCGCTCTGTGGACGAACAGTCTGTTGGCGCGGATGAGCGGTTGGGCTTTCATGAGCGTGTGGTTTCGGCGGACGGGGCAGCACTTGCTTTCGATGACGAACTGATGGCTTTGCCAGCTGGCAATACAAACCGGCTGGTGTGTGATCAGTACAGCATCAGTACAGAACCGTCTGGTACTGCTTTGCATTTTGGGGTTTTGACGGACACGGCGTGAGCAAAACCTAAACGAACCAGAGAGCTCGACCGACGGCATGGCAGGTGCTGCAGCGATGATAGCTAGCTTACGGGATTTGCATGCAGGAGTGTGAGGAGGACAGAATTTCGGTGTCTTTTTCGTGGGAATTCATGAGGGTACGTGTTACATGGTCGTCGGTGTGCGCATCTTGGTTGGTCGTGTTACTATAACGTTAAGGTTTTCACCAGCGCGCGGATGCGCTGCAGATCCATAACCCTTACAGTTGTACCTTGTGTTACGCTGCGTGGTGGTTCTATCTATGCCGATGCGTTTTCCCCGTGTTTTAGTTGTCTACGCTATCTTGTTTTGCGTTGCATGTTGTTGACGCTTGGGGCATTGTAGGCATTTTATTTGTTCTTCCGACGGCCTATGTGCATATTGGACCTTATGGAGCAGCAACATTACTGCTTGCATGGCAACTTTGCTTGCATGCAGCAGAACTAGTTCATATTGGGACGGGTTGTGTGCGTGGTGCCTGACTCCCCGAGCTGACCGCTCAAGCGATGAGAGGTGCCTCAGCACCATGCCCATAAAGACCATCACATATGGCATCTTCCCTCTTCAATACTTGACAAGCAAAACGAACACTTGGTGGTAATTTGGCCCATAGCTAGCTACGCGGGGTGCTGGGAACCCGTGCATTTGCTCACGATGGCCATGCGCCCATGATCGTGGCCACGATGGTGGTGGGGGCCTTGGCTTGTGTTTGGTGGACTTTCTCGTACTGCAAAGCCGGATGCCGCGCGAGGACCTGGGCTTGGAGCGGAGCGAGAGGGGTTATGCATGAGAGCGGCAAAGGGGTGGTAAAGCTAGGTTTGCCACTGCTGCACGTTTGTTGCTGAGTTTACGTGTTTATGTTTGCCTTTGGTGTTTGCGCCCGTGTTTGTATACTCATGTGGGTTTGTCCCTCTTTAGTTCTGAATATTCCAGTTTTGGGCACAGCGGGATTTTAAAGGGCCGGTATGGGAAAGTGTTCTGCTGCAGTTGTGGTGAGGCACAGTCACCTCCTTTGAATCTTTCTGCGAGGAGAGGGAAGTTGCTCAGGCGTTATGCCCAGGGTTGAAGTTGAGAGCTTAAGTTTGTAGGACTCATGTGGGGTGTTCCAGCTGCGGCTTGCCAGCCTGCTGTCTGCCAACTCGTCAGCTTTCTCTTTTGCCAGTTCTTCTCTGTGCTCACACGGAGACAGGCCAGGGCATGCGAGTCAGGTCGTGGGGGCGGTGCCAGACCGGCCATGGTCGCGGGGGGACCTGATGCAAGGACTGTGCGGTGCGGCCCTTGAGCGGCGCGACCTTTGCATGGATGTGCGCCTTGGCGTCCTCTTCAGAAAACCCATTTGCGTGATAGGGAGTGATAGCAGCTGGTTTCCGCGGCTTAAGAGGGACATAGTCATCCGGCATGGCTGCCAATCCATTTTTCCATCTGCTTGGGGACCCTTATTTGTATGGTTACAGCGAGGTGTTGGTGGATGGTTCGTACAGAGCCCCTACATGTGGTATGAGCCGTGGGAGAGCCCCTGCGTGGGTTACCCGCGTGGGGGGATTGGAGAAAAGGGTGGCGCATTGCGAGGCGTTTGTGTGTGCTCATGCGCGTTGCTCTTGTGTGCGCCGATAGTGCGATGATGGGCAGCACACGCCCCCTGGCCCTGGTGCCGCCACTTGTCCTGGCGCGGCACATTTGACTCGACACAGATAGGGCGCACGTTTGCTTGTTTGGTTAACAAGTTGGTTAACAAGTTATTACATGTTCCGCACAAATGGGGGTGTTTGCCGTCCGTAAAAGCTTCTGGGGCCATGGACGGTCAATACACATTATGACGTAATTTCTATTGGGGTCTCGTGGCTTATGTTTACGCTTATTAAGCGCCCATACGTACACGTATTTTCATGCGGGACCCCAAACACATTAGCCGCCATGGATGAGGGAGGAAGGGAGGGTGCGTTTGTCCTTGCCTGTGGGTTGGGGACAAGACTGGTTGGGTTGAGCATGCTGGCTCTTAGCTGCGCGAAATGAGCATGGCGTATGCCGGGTGCTGCGGAGCTGGGGGATAGTGGTGGATTTCGCATCTTACGTTTCCTTGGTGAGAGAAGCCCCGTCTCAACTGGCGCTTGTATTCCACCCGGAGCTCGAGGCTGAATCAGATGCATGGCGGCCATCGCCGCAGGGAATGAGCACTTTCCACTACAGCATTGCGCACAATGCACATGCATTCGCCTAGCTTGGAGGCCCGTTTTATTATTTATCTTATTATTTTTACGATTTGACGTAAAATCCTTTCGTAAAATCCTGATCTAATTAAATTATTGCGTTAGATATTTAAGCCCTAGGGGTGTGGCATGTAGGTCGGGCGGGATGGAGGTCGTGGAAGGCGTGTGAGAGCTGCAAAGCTACAAAGCTGCTGTGTTTGAAGTGCACAGTGTGCCACCACCGTCATGGTGGCCGGGGATGAATTGGTGAAAAGGTAAAACGCCGGCATGTGCACACCGGTGACACCGGTTGTGCCTTGCATAGTGCTGAGCCATGTCGCTAGCCAGGACAGCCTGGTGGCGCCGTTCCCGCCACCGCGGCGCCAACATCCGACGCCTAATGATAACTAGTCCAACGACAGCATTTTAGGCGCACTAGAAACGTCCATTGGGGCTTGTGCACAAGGCGGTTGTAGGTTTTGCTACTGCTGCTCTTGCATGGTCGTGCTTTATTATATTAGATACATAGTTATGTAACGCGTCTAATACAAGTAAGCGAAGAGTGCGACACAGGACGCGGCTCTGCTATAATTATGACACGGTTGGGTTCCTGTGTAACGAGGTGAGTTCTAGGTCGCTAGACGGCCGTCCAGGAGACAATACGAGCCTGGGGGGCATAGCAGGGTGTTGTCCCGCGCCTTGGACACCAAATATCGAGCAATGCAACAGCCGCTCTCCAACACTTCTGTGCAGAATTAAGCACATAAAGACCGATGTATATGTCCGTACATATCCGGGCATATCCGGGCATCCGGCTACAAGGAAGTAAACGTGGACAGAAGCTAGGGACAACCCTCTTGTGTTTCACCCTGAGGATTGAGGCATCCCCCACCATCCCCCCCTCCCTGGCCAACCCCCCAAACCCTGATCCGATTACATCATTTTTGACTTTCCGATACCCTTCCTTCTTTGCCGCCTATTTAGTTTTACACATCACCTCTACGGCTTCCGTTTTTTCTTTTTTTCTGCTTTTACAGGACTTGCCTTTCTTTCATCTAAACGGCTAGGTAGTCCTCCTGCGTTTTTCGCCTTCTGCCTCCTTTGGACTTTGGACTTGACACCTAGTCATTCGTGTTCAGGCATGAAAACTGCAAGGTTTACGGTGCTGTCCTGAGCTGCTTGCCAACAGCTAAGGCGACGTGTGGCAAGTCATTGCATAACATATAACTAGGAACCGCGTTTGAACAGCATTGCGTGCGGAGCCCTTTAACGTCAACTAACCGGGACCCAATCCGTTGCCCCGCGCGGCGAACCGTTGCGCGGGTCCGCGAATCCTGTGGTCGGCCAGGTCTCAGAACTAACTGAGGTGTTATGTCCAGTGGTGTTGGTACGACACGGCCGAAAACATTTTGCAGTGTTGTGTGGGAGGCGTTCCTTTGAGCACTGCACTCGACCCGAACGGGGTCCACGGTAACAATTTTCACATACTGCAAGCGCAAAATCGCTTCGCTGCCACTGCGCATCCGATACGCAACTTGGACAATCCGATGTTTATCTTTCCGGACTTTCCTGAGGATTTGCTACGTTCGATGTATAACATGTAACCGTCAGCCAAGCAACCACGTGCTCTCAAAGGCCCACCGGGACCCAACGGAGACCCCATCTGACCATAGCTCGTTGGGAATCCTCCCCGGTGGCCATCATGCAGCATCCGGTCATCCTCCACTGCAAGGAACAGCCATCGAACGCTGTCAACCCCAGGCATTGTCCGGGCGCCCTGCAGTTCCATAGAGTTGGGCCGCATGGCGCCGTGATGGCGCCCAGATGTACTCCACGCAAACGTGACTTTCGCGTGCGTCTATCTACATATCAGGCCTCGTGGCTGGCGTGCACAATCGACACCTTGAACAACGGCTTCCCTTTGGCAGCTTACTGAACCCCGTATGCATGCATGTCGTTAGCGTGCTTTGCTTGCTTTCACCCGACTGCATCTGCAGGTGTGTGGTGTTTTGTTATGTCATTCCATCACGCGATATCCCGTATCCATGAGAGCGACAGGAGCATGGGGTCGGCCGGGGGCGCGAGCTGTCTGGGTGCTCACGTTTTGCCTGTACAGCTGTGTATGATAATGGTGGGTGCAGTGGTGCGGATGGAGCCTTCAGGGTTCAATAAAACCTGAGTGTCGTGTCAGGCCGTGGGCTGCAGGTGCTTGGTTGCAGTAGAGGGCGGGAACCCATCCAGGAAAAGCTGCATCGCCATGCAGCCATGGCCAGTAGGGGCCTGCCTGTTTTCTGTGGAAATGGCGGCCTGTAACACGACTCGGCTAGAGAGGTGGGGTGGACCCATTCCTACGAGCACAGGAAACCTTCCCTTCCATAGCGAAAGGGAGGGCATGGCAAGCTGCTGGAAAACGTAAAAGCAATACCTTGCTTACACGTACCCGACATTGGGTGAAGCCAAAAAAGTCCGCACGCGAGTCCAAATCGCTCTTGGCGTCAATCCTATCAGCCGCAGCCGTGAATCCGTTGCGCGGTCCAGCAAATCCAAACCCCGGACCGGCGAATCCGAATACCACACAACACAATTCCAATTTACATCTTTAGAAATCGAACTCCTATTTTCAAGTTTCCGATTTTTTCCATATGTTAGCCCCGTGACACGGCCTGCCGTGAATCCTCTGCTCGTGGGTACCCTCAGGTGCTGCCGCCATGCCGTGTTGCTTGCATCCCTCTGGCTTGTGCTCAGTCATTGTCCTCGCCAAACTGATGGCCCAACAACAACCAAGAACACAAAATGCGGTAAAACAGGTTACAGAGCCGTCTTGGGTGTTCTAGAGAGTTTCAGATACGCCAACTGAATGCAGAAAGGATACAAGGTGGCAACTTGTTTTGCACTAGACTGGCAAGGCTCGGCCATGGTCTTCAAGGGAAAAGCAGTCATGGCAGGAATAAGGAGTGCAAAAGTTGCATACATGGTGATCAGGGCTCGTTTTATTGGCAAATAATGCTACATGCCTTGAACTGCCCGCGTGTTAGGCAGAATGTGTCAGCCTTTTTTGCCTCACCTTGACTTCCGGCGGTGGGGGCGCGCGATCTGGGTCAGCGGAGTGGCCGCCGCGGGCGTGGCCGCCCTTGACTCCTCCAACCTGCACACAAAAAGACTCACATAGACGATGTATTACGATATTGGAATAATAGCGAACATCTTGCTACAGCTGCTTGTATGAAAACGACATTTATGAAAAAAAGCCAGCCCATGGCAAGATGACAACCCAACAAGAGGGCGACAGCCCCATAGGCAAGACATAAACGGAAGATAAATCTGAAACAATTTTCAGAAGATGCCACATTCAACAAGTGGGCTCATATCCAAGGAAAAAGACAATCCAGTCGACAACCCAGTCTTCGTTCCTGCGACCCACGGGTCAGTATTCAAAGCCCTGACCCGATCTCAACGCCAACTGCAACAGGAATTAGTCTTCCATTATTAACCTGAATACCTTGCGGTCCCTCCAATCCCGCAATGCTGTCCCCTAAAAGTTATTCGCGACCTAACCTGAATGCGTTGGTGGGCGTCCAGCTCCTCGAAAGACTTGCCGAACTTGTCCTATGGTGCACAGCCCGGCCCCAAAAGGATTACATGGTGCGTAAACTTCAAGCGAGTCAGCGTAGTAAGACTATTGCCATCGGCCTTGGACCGTTCAGCGCAACCAGTTTCCGCTCGCCCATCGCACCGGAATTTATTTATCATGATGGTACCTGTGCTTTACCCACCTGCGCAATTTTATTCAGCTCCTCCATATGCTCTTGGTCGTCTGTTCGGACCATGACTCACAAACGTTGAACACCCAAACGCAAAGTTCTTGCAGACTGCTCTATAAGCAAGTTCGCCCACAAACGTGTGTTGCAGTTTCTCCTTAACGGCGATGCACATGCACAATTCCAGAAGGCTTTTCGGCTTCGGGACGTACACCAAGGACTTGGCATTGTCAACACGGCTCCGTACGCTCCGAAGCCTCCAGCCCTCTCACCTTTTTCTGGGACCAGGGAGCAAAGGTTCGCAGTGTGCAATCAAAGGCGTGAAAAAAATTGAAATCTGTCACCGAGCTTCACGCGCTGACGAGGGCTAGCAGCTATGGCGAACCAAGGAAGCACTGAGGGCGAGGTCATCCGCGACACCCAGGCAAGGAACTGCGCAGCACACATCACGACCTACGCCTGCCTTCAGTATCAGATTAACTGCATTCCCTACATGAAGCAAGATAGCAAATAGCGATGCTGTGCGAGAAGGACCGCGCGATAGATATGGTACCCTGGCAAATCGACCCGGTGTCCAAGATTCATCAGCCAGGCTTTTCACCGGTCGCCCACCGGAGTCGCGTCTCTTTTGATAGCTTCAAATTATGAATGAACATCCAAAGGTCCGTCCACCGCGGCTAGGTCCCGTGGCGTTGGCCCCTTGCGCAGCATTTTTCCAGTTGACTTCGGCACCCGATGCAGCTCGTTGGTTTTTGTCAACGTTAACTTTGACCCTGCCAACTCGCAGGTGGGCACCGAAGGCGACGACGTGCCCGACAGGTTCCAGCTGACGGGCGATCAGGGCCGACCTCCGGCACCGTACGAGGGCGAGGGAACCCACCGGTAAGCTGCTGCGCTTGCTGGTAGCACCCGCCGTGATTTGGGTTGCAGTGTCAGGGAGAAAAGCACACATTGCCTGCATCGCCTTTTTCATACACCTCAGAATCTTTTAGACTCTTGGAATCTTAGAATCTTTGATGCGATGCCAAGCGCACACTGGGAACGTGCAACCCCGCACTTGCTATCTGGTGCCGAAACTACGCTGCTGCTTACTCCGCATGCCGCAATGCCGTTTCTACTCTGACGGTGCGGCGTACTGCAGCTACGAGACGCGCATGACTGATGAGGAGATCGCTCACGGTCTGGGTCGGGATGCTCGCCGGGCCTCCCAGGTGCTGCACCACCAGCTTTCAGGTGGTGGCATGGGCCAGGGCCAGACTGAGGGCACCAGTGACAGTTTCCGAGCTGACCTGGTCCCCAGGCCCTCGGAGGAAGAGGCCATGCAGGTGGGAGTGTGTGGGGCTCGAGCTGGGTTGGACTGGGAAGGGTTAGCCGGTTTGGGCGTTGTATAGGTAGGTAGAGTGTGGGGGTGGGAGAAGGTGCGAATGTCGAAAGGGTCCATCGGGGCACAGCTGGGCGATTGCGGGCTGGCTCATAACAGTAGTAGGGGAACCTTGGGACGCCTAAACGCCTGGGGAAGACTTCAAAGTCTCTAGATTGCTGTTGCTTTTTACCTGCCCTGGCATATCTCTTGACTGCTCGCTTTCATAAATCGTGCTATTCCCTGCAGAAAGCCTTGGGATCCCCGCAACCTTCTCCACATGCATCTCAGCAGCTATAAGGCCTTCATGGAACCGAGTATTGAAGGCGGGAAGACCAGAGGATTAACGCTCCGACCCGTGGGCCGGCTGGGCCGTGTTGAAATTCCTGTTTGCAATGCTATCTTCACATTAGAAATTGAATTTATATGAAAATGACTTTACAGCAGTGGTTTCGCGTTGAGTAAGGCTGGAAGAAGTTGCCCGTTGGTGCGTTCGTCGTCGCCTATATATCGGCATGACTGTTCACTCTTTCGCCTTGTAAAGGAATTCTTGCATATCTCACTACACAAACTCATTAAAGCAAACGCATATATTTCCCATGGGTCCACCTAAACACCAGCTTTCGCTGAAGTTAAGTTGTATTTGTTCCAACCTACATGTTAAAGGCGCAAACTTAAACTAGCAAGGCTGCTTCTTTTTCGCGCAGCACGGATAAATTAGTTTTGTTTGAAAATGGCGGAGAGCCCCACGCCTGAAACAGGAACTCCGGAGTCTCAGAGTCCAGCAAGGACCCCGCCTGCGCTCATAACAACAGAGGAACTCTTGCAGAGCATGGTCGCAAAGAGCCCTGAGGCCGGAATTTCGCCCTATGCGCCATCACCCAGCGGAAGCGTTTCTCAGCGCGCCCCAGTGGAGCGGTACGAGTTCTTGCGGGCAGCTGACGCTGGCCACAGGCTGCAGGGCTTACGTTTGCCCCCGGAGGAGGAGTTGCGAGCAGCTGCACTGGGGGGTCGACCAGCCGTTGGCCCGCCGCCTAGATTGCCGCATCAGCTGAGTCCGGCATTGCAGTCTGTACTAATTGGGTAAGGACGCCACGAAAAAGTTTGATCCATACTGATTTCGCGATAAGCTACCTCACTGTGACCGTTATCGGTGGTCGACATCTAGGGGCAAGCAGCTGCCAAATTCCAAGGCGGGCCCAGCGCGTCTCTGGGAAATGCAAGCCGGGACGCGGTAACCGGACCTCAGCCATCTCAGATTGCAACTCAGCTTCCTCAATGTGTGCCAAACAGAAAGTAGTTACGCCCTGAATCCTGACAGGGCGTTAGGCAGGACGGCAGCCCCGGCCATAGTGCAGAATGGGTCTCCTTTCAAAGTAAAAGTTACTTTGTTGCGTTCGGCAATCTGCACACAGGTTTCATCCCAGCTGCGCTCCAGCTGGATTTCCTCGGCTGCCCGATACGCCTCAATGACGCCTCTTGTACATAACTCCAATGAACTGGACCGCCCGACACACCTCGGCGTCCCCCCACCATTCCTCGTACCGACATGTTCCGTGGCAAAAGACACACACACACACGCCACCGTTCCCCCCAATCGCAACCTTTACCCTGCAGCTGGCGCTCAGTCTACGAGTCTTGCCGTACGACACACGATCTGCAGGCGTTAGTGGGGGACTGCTACGCACACGATGCGGTGTTTGAGGACGCACTGGTGTCAGCCCGGGGCCAGGAGGCTGTGTACCGCCAATTCGCCATGTTGGGAGCTGCCGTACGTTCCGTACAGGTACGCCAGGGCGTAATTGCCGCTGTTGCCGCTGGGCTTGGCAAGGCGGATGCAACATTTGTATCATCCCGCTTCCCTCCTGTCAATCTCTTCCCCCCCCTCCGTCCACTGGCCGCTGCCAGGTGGCCGCCTACTCGCTGTCCGTGGCGCCGCTGTCGCGGCCCGTGGTCTTCTTGGAGGGGCAGCCACAAGCGGCCAAGGGCCCTGCAGCCCCGCCGCTGCGCGAGGCTGCGCGGCGGCCTGGGTCGCAGCAGCAGCAGCAGCCAGTGGGGCTTCAAGCGGTGAGGAGCCTGACCCAGCAGCAGGTACAGCTACAGCGGCAGCAGCAACAGCTGGGTCTGCAGCTGCAGCCGGAGCAGGGCGGAGCCGGCGCGCCGGGCCACCGGCAGCTGCCCCAGCCACAAGCGCAGCCATTGCATCTGACCCGGGTCACGGTGGAAAACGTGCAATGCTTTGAGCTCGGTCTGCCGCCCTGGCTGACCTGGCTCGTCGGGGGCAAGGCGCCGGGACTGCAGGTGGGTTGGGGGTGTTGGGAAATTTGGGGCGGTAGGGTGCCCCGCAACTTCAGTTTCCTTGGGAGGAAACGGGACAGGGGGAGTCGGGGAGCCCACAACGGTAGTCCTGCACGGCATCTCCCGTCGCCTGCAGTGACTCTTTAATGCAATGAAGTCAACATCGACTGTACCTTAATTACCCTACGCCGTGTACACAACACCGCGACGACCCCAGGTTCATCTGTACGTCACCAGCATCCTGTTGGTGGCGTCGGACGCGCCGCTGGCGGTCGGCAGCGGCGGCGGGCTGGAGGCTGGCGGTTGGCCTGCAGACGTGACGGCGAGTCGTCTGGCTGGAGCTGCAGCGGCTTTGGGCCGTGACGATGGCACGGGTGGCCCCAGCGGCGGCGGCGGCCTGGTTGGGCCTAGGCTGGGCGGTGCTGGGGGCGGCGGCGCCTCGTTTCCCAGCTGGCGCATCGTACACCAGGTGGACACCTGGCACAATGTACCTATGGTGTGGTGGCGGCTGCGAAGGGCCCTATGCATCGCAATGGACGCTCTTCTGGCCCCGTTGCTGCGCGTGTGAAAAGGATGGGGAGGAGAGGGGGTTTGGCGCTGTGGGTTGCGGGCATTGGTTACCAGGATTGGATACAGGAGGTACCGGGGGGCACCCCTAGGAGTGATTTTGTCCTGTTATTGATTCCTGCGTGTGTCCATTCGCATCCTTTGGATTTTCTTGTGTTGTGTGAAGTGTTGGCAGCTGGGTTGTTGCAGCACTGCAAGCATTGCTCCGTGCCTTCGTATCACTGCCTTGATTTTATAGCTTCCAGGCATAGGAGAGAGAGAGAGAGAGAGAAAAAGGGAGAGAGAGGGAGGTGTTTTGGATGGCGAGGTGGTGTTGAGTGTGTTGTGTCGCAAGGGCTGTCCTTGGGAGAGTCCGAAGAGTCCGAAGCGATGGCCCTGGGGCCCTGTGCCGTAAAAAGATGTGAGAGGGGACATCACCGGCATCAGGGGCTTACGGTTGGTTGGTTCACCTCGCCGGAGTTCCGCCATCCTCCCCGTGTGAGGAAGTGACTGACTCGCGAGGCGGTGTCCACGGTTAAGTTTTAGAACGAAGCCGTTGCGAAGTCCTAGCCGTCTCGTTTTGTCAAGGACAATAACGAAGGCTAGCCTGAGCTAGACTGGGCTGGGGTCGTGCACCTGCATGCCGGACAACGAGCCCCCTTGCTTTCATCGCTGTGCCCAGATGTGTCAGTCGGGCGCAAACTCCACCGCTGCGCGGTATGAGCTCACAGGGTTGGTAAGAATTGCGAGGAGATAGGCTGCCTAGGATAGATTGTTTGGCATCAGTGCATCGGGGCTTGCTGGTGCGCCGCAGAGTGCCCGAATTTGAGCGACCCGGCCGCTTTGATTGGAGGATTGCATGAAGAGTCTCATGAAGAACAGAAGATCTTCTTTCCCAACATTTTGTTTTTTTGAGGAATGATCTTTTGATGATGTTTTCTTAGGTTGTCCTCAAAGCATCACTGGTGCGCTGTTTCTGAATAGTACCGGCAAGAGGGATACACGCAGTGAAGGCAGCGACCGGGGGAAGAGGGGGTGGCCAGAGGAGGTGGCATGGTAGGGAATGTGAAGTTTGTGCAGGCCATTTTCTTGTCTCGCCCGCCTCCACGGCGACGCTGCGTGTGGCTTGTAGAAACGCATGCGCATTGCGCGTCGTTAGGCATGGCATAGCCCTGTACGGCTTTAATAATTGTTGCTTAAGTAGGCAAGTCCCGTTCAGTTTAAGTTTAGGTTCTCAGGGTTGCTTAGCTGGTTGTTCGCAATTCTTTTTAAAAAACAGTGGCGGAAGCGGGGAAGCTATTGAATGGCTGTTATAGCGGTTCTGAGTCATGTCGGCAACGAGCCGTGTCCCTCGCGGTCTTAAAAGTTGCATAATTATTGCACCCACGCAATGCCGTGACGTACGGTTTGTTGTTTCAACGTGCCGGCGATATCCTGGCGGTTATTTGTTTGTCCGTCTCGTGCAGTCGCGTTTGTCAGCTCTTGTGCTGAATTTGAGCTTTGCATGTGCTGTTCTTCTGTTGCTAGCATGTGCGCATTGTTGTACCGCGAAGAAGAAGAGATTTATTTCGATCATGTGATGTACAGGAGACTTCCCAACTGATGTGGGCATGTAGTCTCGCCTTCCGTATCTGATCTGATAGCGTAGCTTAGGAAGTGACACGGCATGTTGGTAGCGTAGGTTAGGAAGTGACACGGCACGTTTTTGTACCTGACGCATGTCTTAACACTTGCGGGATGGAAGGGACGCACCGGCGGATGGTTTGGTAACGAAGTATCCGCACGCCAATGGTGGGTGCACGTGGGCCGTACCATACAGCATCTTAGGCAATGGTGTCCGGCGATCGCGCATTTGCTGGTCGCGCATTTCGTGTGAGTCGGTTAGGGTCCTTATTTCGCACTTGCCGTCGCCTGCTGAAGAACGTTTCCATGGCAGGTAGAACTTGAAGGTGTTGCATGAGAGGAAGAAAAATACTACGTAATAGCAACGGCATTGTAGCTTGTCCAGTCCAATTTAGTAGATTTTGGAATTAGAGGTAGACAGTGCTGTACAGCTCGGGGTGTGACTTAGACCGCTCTGCAAATCTCTAGTTAGGAGGAATCCAGGATAGGGGAAAGTTGGACATCGATTGCGAAGAGTTACATTGGATTGGGAGTGGTACGGACTGCAAGATAGGTATTGCTGCGAGCTGGTTCCATAGGTTCTGTTGTAAGAGGGTCGTTGGTTCTTGGTTGCACAGCTAACGCGCTCTCATGTTGTTACGTCCGTATGGTAGCGTTCCCATTACCGCAGCCAGACAGGCCTCAATAATATGACCAGGCTGCCATGCAGATCCGCTTCACGGAACGGCCCATCACAGCCCTCCATTAATCCAAAACGCCTCCTCCAGTGCCGGCATGCACGCATGCGGCCCTTCACAGTCCATAACATGGTCTCTTCCCTGCCCCGCATTGCTGGGCAATGTCCTTAGGAAGCAGAGCCCTCCCCCGACTGCTCCCGGGGTCCAACAGCACTCTTGTGAGCCCGCTCCCTCCCTCTTCGTCCTCCACCTCCCTCCTCCTCCATCGATGTTCATTCCCCGAACAACCTGAAAGAATCCGCATATGCTTTTGACAATCTTGGCCGCCATGCCCCAAATCATATATACCCTTGAATGTGTACTCAATACTTGGCCAACTTGCCACTCCGAGCACTTCCCGCATCGCCAGTTCTGCTTCAATATGGCTATCAGTGCCACAGCAGGGGCGTAACCGCTCCTCCCTAGGTACATAATGCCCTATGTCGCCTGCAACGTGTGTGTGAGTATACATAAACGGCGCATAAGGCTGGTAGCGCATGGCCTTCGTCTGTATTTTTTCGGGCATTGTATAGGCGAGATATTCGGGAAAATAGGTGAAAGGTATATAGGCCAGTTAGGTGTACACGTATTATACGAGAAATAAAGGCCCAGACCTAAAGAGGGACATATGTACATGTTTGCCTAATAGAGGACCCTGTATATATGTAGAATACCTGACCTTCTTTATGCTATGCGGTATACTTCCAAGCTATACAGATATGTGTACACGTGATGTTGTAAACAACAGTGCCTATACAGGTGCGTGTGTACATGAGCGCCTATTACAAGACCGCTATAGGCATCACGTAATATGCAATGGCCTTTACATGACAGCCTATACCTGACCTTGTTTAGGCTGTGGTGTATACTTGCCAGGTATATGCATGCGTCTACAGGTAATGTTGTAAACAACAGTGCCTATACAGCTGCGTGTGTACATGAGCGCCTATTACAAGACCGCTATAGGCATCACGTAATATGCAATGGCCTTTACATAACAGCCTATACCTGACCTTGTTTAGGCTATGTGGTAAACTTGCCTGGTATATGCATGCGTCTACAGGTGATGTTGTAAACAACAGTGCCTATACAGCTGCGTGTGTACATGAGCGCCTATTACAAGACCGCTATAGGCATCACGTAATATGCAATGGCCTTTACATAACAGCCTATACCTGACCTTGTTTAGGCTATGTGGTAAACTTGCCTGGTATACAGCATGCGTCTACATGTGATGTTGTAAACAACAGTGCCTATACAGCTGCGTGTGTACACGAGTGCCTATTACAAGACTGCTATAGGCATCACATAATAGGCCTTCATGTTTACATGACAGCCTATACCTGACCTTGTTTAGGCTATGCTGTATACTTGCCAGGATGTTGTTTACATGTGTCATTTGTGTACAGAAATATATGGGATGCATAGAAGCTCAGGGGATTACAATTTTCACATACTCTTCATACGTTACTATCACACATCACACAAGGAATCTCAGCTCTCAGCCCACAATCCCTCAGTCTGCTTTACTAAATGAATAATCCACATGTTATCTGGCCTATTAATGCTGCAACTCCAAAACACAACCAAAACACTTAACAGAATAAATTCTCCGACACTATCAGCACAACACAAACAGTCATTTCCTACTCCCATGAGCCCC